TAAAACTAGCGCTGTCAGTCGATTAAAATAGTTAATCGCAAATTAATCGCACATTTTTGATCTGTTCTAAATGTACCTTAGAGGAATATTTTTCAAGTTTTGAATACTCTTATCAACATATGAGTGGAAAAATATGCTTTATGCTAATGTTTATTATCATTTGAACAATGACAAATATTCTCATGAATATTAAACACAACAACCTCTGAACATTACAAATATTCGCCTCAATTCAACCTGGAACCTCTCTCATACTGTGTGTGTGTGTGTGTGTGTGTGTGTGTGTGTGTGTGTGTGTGTGTGTGTGTGTGTGTGTGTGTGTGTGTGTGTGTGTGTGTGTGTGTGTGTGTGTGTGTGTGTGTGTGTGTGTGTGTGTGTGTGTGTGTGTGTGTGTGTGTGTGTGTGTGTGTGTGTGTGTGTGTGTGTGTGTGTGTGTGTGTGTGTGTGTGTGTGTGTGTGTGTCGGATCGTTGGAGCTATGTGCAACTCAAGGCATGTGCTCGAACGGGAGCTGCCTGGACGCTGCAATCATGTTGCGCACTATCCGTGCTGAGTGTGCTGACTTCTCGTACAATGTCCCACTGTCTGGCTTCCTGCATAAAGTCAAGTGCTCGGCGCAGTTGTGGCGAAATGTCGCTCCTCTGTTTTCATTTAAACAGCTCCTTATATCCAACAACAACAACAATGCACGTAAGGTCTCTCTCTCTCTCGCTCGGGCCACACATACACACACCCTCCCGGTCCTCCCAATAGCCAGTCGGTGCCTGCCGGTGAGCGTGGAAGTGTGGTCTGCCACAAGCGGGCGGCAGGAGCGGGGCTGTCAGCATCAGCTTGTAGATGGTAATTTAAACTCGATGCGCTCTGAAACTACGGGGCGGCCGAGGAAAAAAAATACACATGCGTTAATCGCGGTAAAATAATTAGTGGCGTTATTATTTTTTTTGCGTTAACGCGTTAAATTGACAGCCCTAGTTAAAACCCATAAGTGTTGATTTTGGTTCTTTCATCAGATAATGAACGGACAGACTTTTCTGTGGTCCTTTTCATGGCATTTGTACATTTTTGTTGACTTGATTGGTATTTTTCTGTTGTTAAAGGGCGAAGGACAAAGAGTATGGAGTCTCCAGAGGGGTGGACTTCCAGAATGTTTCAAATGTCATCAACTTTGATTTCCCCATGACTGTAGAATCATACATTCATCGAGTTGGGAGGTGAGCAGTGTTTCAGTTCAGTCACACTTCAGGATCAATGATTCATGAGGGCACCTTCTTCCTATTAAAAGTAAGAAGCCATTTATGTCCTATAACTATCAAATCCTGATTTGGTATTATTGTTTTTTGTAGAACGGCCCGAGCAGACAACCCCGGCACTGCTCTGTCCTTCATCTCTCACACTGAGCTTGGTGTGCTATCAGAGGTGGAGGACGCTCTCACAGGAGGTAACCAGGACTTCTTTTAATACACTTTGAGTCTAAGCCTTTAGTCATGTGGCCAGTTTTAATATGAAACATGTATTTTGTTTTTTTAGATACGTCTGATTGTGTTCTAAAACCATATGAGTTTAAGATGGACGAGATTGAGGGCTTCAGGTACAGGTGCAGGGTGAGCATCCTCCTCATATCTGTGACTAGCCAAACAAAGCCAAACAGGATCAACAATTTATTTGGATTAAAACTCCAGCATGGCGAAAAAAACTAGCGTTTGGATGATGAACGTTTCTGGTGTTTGTATGCAGGATGCCATGCGTTCAGTGACAAAGCAGGCAGTGAAGGAGGCCAGACTGAAGGAGATCAAACAGGAGCTGCTCAACTCAGAAAAACTCAAGGTGAGTGATAGCCACTGTTTTTTAGGAGAGAGTTGAAGTGTGAGGACATGTTGTGATTTGGTGTCCCTGCTGTCTCTCAGACATATTTTGAGGACAATCCCAGAGACCTGCAGCTGCTCAGACACGACAAAGACCTCCATCCTGCTGTGATCAAACCCCACCTGAGGAACGTGCCCGACTACCTCAGTAAGAGACACACACAAAATAACACCTGAAATATCAGTTTTAGTGAAATGTATATTTAGAATACCACTTTATAATATATTTGCTCACAAAGTATTGCATCTTTAAATAGAAATACTCAATTAAAGTACATTTACATTGTACATGGTAAATGTCAATCGTTTGTAATGAATCATTTCCCCCTGCCGTTCTCCAGTTCCCGAGACACTGAAGGGCGTCGTGAATCCGCTGTCAAACAGGAGGAAGAAGAAGAAGATGGTAAAATCAAAACCAGATGGAGTCATCAAGAGCAGCTTCAAGGTGAGACCCAAGAAAAACAATCTGTTCAAATTGACTGAATCCCATAAAGGTAACTGGCGACAGTTTTCGATTCAACACCAGCCAAACCTGGAAAAGAGAATAAACCCGTACAGGGTTCGGTTACAACTTCTAAGGGTTTTAGTTCTCTGTGATAAAAATGGCTAGCTTGCCAGAAGACCTTTCTTTTGCTTCCTGTGCATTATGTTCGGAGGAGATGGTACCTGGACAAGAAAAGATTTCAGGATCTCAAGCATTTTTCAGAGAGGATTAACAAACAAGCAGCAAACATCTAACGTAACCATAAGTGGTGGCATATATAAACAGGGAATTGAGCAGAATACCAGCAAGTTGAGGGCAACAGGTATATGCTTAATCAAATCATCACTGACTTTAAACTCTTTAATAATGTCTAAATTCTGTTAGTGCATCTGTCCTAAGCAGGGGTTAAATTGGGGGGGGTCTCATTATTTGACCTTAAGGGCTATACTGTATATGAGGCCCTAAAGTATCTGCTCCATTATCTGTTTCAAATGCACACATTGATGCCACCAGATGACACAATAAAAATAGAAAGTTCTACAAATAAATTAGTTTACATCTTAAATTATTAATATATACACACATTTATTTTTGCAAATATCCAACCTTCAAATTGCTTTTTTAAATCAACATTGCTCTGCACACTTGCTAAAGAACATTTGTGTGGTAATCTCAGTTCATTTGTAGGGCTGCGCGGGTATGGCCAAAAGTATGGGAGTAAATCTCACTGTAAATGATTTAATTATGACTCAGCTTTATGCACACACATACATTTAGCATGGTTTAGGAAACGAGCTCCGTGTTACAAGGCGGCTCGGGTCGTTTGGCGGCACCGCTGCAGATTCTGTGTACACACACACACTGCCGCAGACTCTCTGTGTACACACACACTGCCGCAGACTCTCTGCACGGAGGAGCAGCGGAGTCCGAGCGATGCTGCTCCTCCAAGGAAGAGACACACGTTCACTAAGACAAAAAAAATATCTGGTCAAAGAGACCTGTAAAGTAAAATCAACACATATCGACCTTAAATATAGTCTATATTAAGAACGAGAAACGTTTTAACATATATAATTTTTTGTCAGAGCATCGTCCTATGTGCGGGGCTGTCCAGGGCTCAGCCCCGGCCCAATTTAACCCCTGGTCCTAAGTAGTTGTTTACCCACGATTTTGAACACCTTATATGCCATTGAACATAATATGAAAATGAGCTGATTATCTCACATAGAAATACGTTGGAGAGTTGCTAAATGTATGGTTTCAATCTCTTCTGATAGAACATCCAGGGGAAGAACCCACTGAAGAGTTTCCGATACAGCGCCGGGAGGAACAGGAAAGACACACCAGTCAAGTCCTAGCCGGAGCTGCAGTACACAGAGTGTATCAGTCCTGGAGGTTATAACTGTGCAGAAACCCAGGGCACCGTTCTGATCCAGTGTCAGCCTGGACGAGACAAATATAAACTGTATTGACTTTGGATGAAATGGGCTGTTGAGTCTATATGGCCCACGGAGGAAACGGACGATGAACACAGACTTATGTGAACTTTGAAATGAAGAAAATGCAGGAGACATCCGTTTGAACTTGGATTTTGTCAAATCTAAACATGATATATCGTCTGTTGAGGAATACAGTATCTGTATCATCTTATTTCTAATGCGTCTGTTCTAAAAACATTGAAATGTTGATTAAAATAAAAGTATTTCTTCTCAAAAGTTAAGCATTTATGTTGTAGTTCTTATAGATCATATTTTCTATGCAAACATGTTCAGTTGCAATTAATAACTTGTAGTAAACACAACTGAGGCTGATTGGGAAAAATAAACCAAAGTATTGAACACATTAAAATATTAACCACATTTTCTAACAATCTATCCAGTAGTTTCATTTTGTTGAGGTATAGAATAGCCCCTTTCAAATCTGTCAGGAAAAGAGGTAGGGAAAGTAAGGAGTTTAATCTGACACACCTGTGAGAGAAACACACAAATGCAGAAAGAGGGATTTATTCCAGTTTTTTTTGTATATCTTTGCTTGAAAAACGATTTGTTGTGACTCATGGAATGTGAACAGTGGCAGTTCCAGGAACAGGCTTGATTTCCTGGACTTCACTGGGCAACAATCCTGGAAATGTTCTGATCCCGGGGGGGGGGGGTTTCGATGAATCCTGATTCTCTCAGATCTGCTTGGATTTAGACTTCCTGTTCTTTGTTGGACTTACAACAGTTCAAATATGTCTCATTTCGTCCAGTTTCAATGCCTTTCCTATTCTCCTGCTTTTACATGACAATACTTTACCCATCAGCCAAATTTAACCTAATTGTCCTTCTCGTTACTATTGTAAATTAAAGCCCCCAAACACTGCCGCACAACATGAAGCCTTAAAGTGAACTTTCTGATAGGGCCGTGGGTGTAAAGCCAGCCTACATTTCCCATATTACGTCATATCGGACGCAAATCTGGATCAGCTCCGTTGTAGCCCCGTTTTTAGAGATTTGGGTATGGAGGAAAAGAGAGAGGGTTTTTTTTCTGATGCTGCGTGAGTTCCCTGACGCACCGGGGAGACATTTATGTATAAAAGACATCAAAAAGTGCATTTTGCATGATAGGTTCCCTTTAAGTCATCATTAGAACCACAAAATCATACACAATCTAAAGTTACTTAGAAAAATGTTTTAATCAAATGCATTCAGAAGTACATTTAATCAGTTGAACTGAAGCCATCATACTGTAAAGCAATTAAGAAACATAAAGATATACAGACATTTCAAATGGAGAGGTACCTAATTATTTCCTGTTTGTGTTGTGACATGTTTATTGTTTTATTAAAGCCAAATATATTGAGCTGTATAGTGTATGCTTAGCACAATCTTTTATTCCAGATCAATTCTCTGTATGAAAATTTCCCAAAACTAATTTGTATTACGGACATTCCCTAAAAGTCTCCGCTCACAATGTTCCCCGAATTCAGTATTTTGAGCGCTAAATAACTTGTGTGTTCTGTGTTTTTAAAGCTGTGAGGATGCAGCAATCAGAAGTGGTTAGTAAGGTTTTACATGGATGTTGTGTCACTGAATGTAGAAATCAATCAATAGTGTATTCGAAAGGATAGTCCTGTGTGGGTGCCAAGTCAAAGTTAACGCTATCGAATGGATTCTCTGTCATCCAACTGTCCGGAAACCAGGAGTCATACCAGGAAGTGGTTCTCTCGGTCTTAGGTTCTGTTGTGGGGGCTGTAGTTGTGGTCGTTGTCGTCGTCGTTGTTGTTGTGGTTGTGGTTGTTGGAGTAGGTATGGTATTGAGACCGCCTCGTAACCTCTGCAGACGCAGACGGCGTAAACGCAAGATCTTGAGCCGCCTGAGTCGCTCTGCCTTCTGGAGTCTGGCGTGATCGTCGACGGTGGTGGCCACAGGGCTTGGCGCTGTAGTCGTTCTCACCACAGTTACTTTGGGGACAAGTCGGATGGGCCTCTTGCCGTGGAGCTTCATGATTTGTTTGATGCGGTCCCAGTTTGATTTGGCTAAGACGAAGCTGCATGAAGTGGCTCCAACGTCGTAGCCCACCATACATATTCTGGTCTGAGGGGTGTAGCCGTCAGCTCTGGCCGTCACTCTGTACTCTCCAGGATTCAACAGACGCCAGTAATCACCACCTAAAGCTAGAATGAGTGTAGGGCAAAGGTTAGAAGCTGACATTCTTGACCAAAAAGTCTAATAAATACATGTCTTTGTTGTTGTCCACAACATACCAGTTCTGACATCATGGCGTATTCCCTCCACAGATATAGTGGCATTAGGCAGCGGACCTCCCTCCACGTCTCTCACTACACCCTTTATTCCACGATTTACCTGAACAGAAAACAGCATTTCAGGTTCAGCCTAATCATGGTTTATATTACTTTCAGTGGGACCCAATCACTAGTCTATCAACCAAGGAAATATGCAAACATCATGGGGATAAAAACATTAAACGTGCCAATGGAGGCTACCACCACTGCAATTCATTGCCACCAACACAAGACTGAACAGACCACACCAGTTTCAATGTGAAGGATAGAAAAGCAGCTGTTAACAGCCACATATCAAGTCTACAAACAGGGGGAATTGATCTCCAAAGTATTCTGACTAGAGTTTAATTTATACTCATCAGTCCAGTTCTCACTTGTTCGATGAAGGACAACAGAGCCTCACGATTGTTCTCCCACTCCAGAGGCAGTTCACTCTCATGGGGAAACTTGTCACAGCCCAGGAAGATGGACAGCTCGAAGCAGTTGGTGTGCAGGTAGCTGAAGTCATTCATACCTGTGGGAGAAAAAAAGCTTTTAAGGGAGCTTTGATAAAGGATCAGTGCTGTCTAGATGATTATTTTATTAGTCAAGGTACTCCGGAGGCATCTGCACCTTGATACATTGTTATTTAAATGCTCAATGCATGCCATTTGCAATATAAACAGCAACATGACCTTCCAACAAACAATGAACTATTTTTCATCAAGCTTAGAAATACTGATACTATGAGATGTGTAGATTTTTCAGTTTAAGCAGGAACTGTCATGAAAGAAATGACGCTGTTGAGCTTAAGAGCATTACAATTTGCATCCCATATACAGTACTTCAATTAAAATCGGAAGGTCTCCTGAAGACTTTGTTACCACCAAAGTTGGATTTCCAATCAGGCGAAGTGGGTAACTGCCCCTCAAAAGCTCCAGTGTTCTTGTGTGTCAATTGTTTTTTGGTAATTGGATTACTTGCAAACTGTTTCATTTTGTTGAAAACTATAACACAGGAGGTGTTGGTTAGCTGGTCTCTGTGAAAAATATAGTTAAACTATCATCTATGGTGGTGTGTATAGGGTTAGGGTTATGTACTTGATGGAGACCTTGGGAATGCCAAACAGATTAAATGGTCTATGGATACCACCAGGAATAAATGGATTACGTCGTTTGCTCTTTCATTGTTGCACAGTTGTTTGCACTGTTACAATTTCTTTGATTCCTTCTTGTGTTAACACTTACTGCCCACCACTGGATCCCAGTTGGCTCTGTTGGTGATGCCTTGACCCCCAGTGACATCATCACCATGGCATGAGCCTCGGTATGTCTCCGTCATGGTCACATGGCTGTGGGCGTATGACATGGCCAACCATCTGAACATGGCGTCATCTGGCGTCTCTCTCAGAGACCCCTCGTTCTGCCGCTGAATGCGAGCCCACGTCTCCTCATTCATGTTAGAGTTATCACTCCATCGGCTATCCGTAGACTTTGACAACATCAAAGGATTAATGTGTTATTATATGGGAGTAAAACTCCTAACGTGATCTATATGTGTTTAATAAGATTGTATTTGTGAAACAGCCTTACAGAAATTGGTTGACGCTGCATGTCAAACGGGTAGGCGACCATTTTTTCTCCTGCTTGCAAATTTGCTCCCAGCACAAATGGGGTACGCTGCATCCAGGTAATGATGGATTTTGTTTCAGTAGCAAACTGTGAGAGGAAAAAGAAAAGTTTGAGTTTCAACACATCTTGTAGGGTTAAAGTGGTTTATGGGTCCTTGGTGGCCTTGAACAAACTCACAGAGCCATTGAGGACGTTTTCTGTGTGGGGAATGTGATGATTCGGCACGATACGAGGTACCCAGCCTCTGTCCTCAGCTCCCCAGAGAATGCTGTTGAGGTCTGGGAAATTCTTGAAGATGTCGTAACCTTCTTCGGTCCAGTGGCCCAACGCCCAATTCCCCATCTCTGAGCCCTGAAGGACAACAAGGAAGACCATGTTAGGTCTCAAAGAATAGTTTTTGCATAAATATGAAGCCTTTTAGCATCAGTAAATACACATGACCTTTCTATGGAAAAAACAGGATGCAGGCCTTAAAGGCTACCCTACATGCTGGAAAACTTGACAGCATGCAACTGGTGCCCATATTTATTTCCCCCCTGGCCCTTAAATGTCCCCTATTATACTGTTTTTCATCAATATATTATAGGTCTCAGATACATACAAATCATGTCTCTGAAGTGTTTGTCTGAAACACCAAACAGGTCATTGTAGCATCCCATAATCCCCTCTGTTTCAGCCCTGTTTCAAAAGTGCTGATTCTCTGTCTGTTACTTTAGATGAAAATAAGGAGCCACTCCCCAAACCCCTCTGAGAGATATTTGGTTAAAAAGAACTCAATGGTGCTCTAGGAGGAGATTCAGGTGATAAGGGGGGGGGGGGGGGGGGGGGGGGGGGATACCTTAATTGGTTATGGGCTAATGGTTACACAACCCATAAAGACATTATGACATCACAAAGTGGCCAAAATCTGATCAGCTCCTTTTCAGACAGGTTTTTATATAAATGGTTCAGGACAAATGGAGAGCAAATCTTTTTTCCTGACATTTTCTGAATCTCTTTACACAGAGGGGACACTTGTTTATGTATAAAAGACATGAACAATTTGATTTTGTATAATATGTGACTTTTAAAGGCTGCCCCTACATGCTGCTGGTGCCCATCTTTGTTTGCACCTGCCCCTTAAGAAAGCCTGAGTCCGGCACTGACTGCTGATACCGGTATTCTTTCCAAGTTAATCCAACATTTATTAATGTGTAATTTATGTTCATCATACCATCTCGTAGGCCAGTTCGTAAGCATCAGGGTTGAGTGAAGGCACCAGGTGTATTCTCACTCCGTCCACCAGGCGGCGCACTCTGGGGTTGTCATCATTGTACTCCTTGCACAGGAACTGCATCAGCAGGAGAAGAAGCTCACGACCCAGCGCCTCGTTACCATGGAGACCAGCTGTGTACCGAAATTCAGGCTCACCTAGAAAGCAACAGCACGCAGATTTATAAACCTCAAGAAATGCGGCTTTATTTATAGTCATGAATCCTGTGTAGTCGTGTTAGGTAAATCATAGGTCTTTCATAAACACGAGAACAAATAGGCGTAAATAGAACGTTTTTCAAGTACTTTTTGACACATCTACATACATCGCTGTTTTTAGCTAATGATGTGTGAAAAGGATTATGTGTCCAAAAATCACATTTTCTAGTTTAGCTATCTCTTGAGCAAACTAGCTTCAACTTAGCTTCCAATGACAGCCATGCTTGCAAGCTTCAAGTTCATTGACTACACCACGCATGATTGGCTAGAAAGGCCAATGTGAGTATGGACCCCGAAAATATGTTTTAATGAGACGAAACACACTAAAACCAACTCCTAAGGTTACAAAAAGGTCAAATGTTTGTATATTAAAGCACTTTTTGCATTGTTGATTGTACAGGGGACACAATTATTGTACAATTATGACAATGATCTTTTATCTGGTAACGCTGTTTTTTTTTTGCTGTCTGTTTCACGTTACCTGTCTCGTGCTCTCCTGGGTTGTCAGAGATCTCCATGGCGTACATCTTTAGGCCCTGAGAGCTTTTACCAATGTTGTAGATCCTGGTGATGTTAGGACACTCTTCGTTGATCACCTTCATCATCTGTAAGAGAGATACAAGAGGAAACTCTTTTGTGATATTGTTCTTTTCAGAATTATAATAGGGCAGTAGTTTTTAATCAGACTTAAAAACAGACCTGTCTCATGTCCTTGTAGTTGTGGTGTCTGAAGTCCAATTCGTCTGAGGAGTTCACTTCATTCTCACTGCGGTAGCTGCCTGAAAGAAGTAACACGCTCATAGTACACTAGAAGTTCTGCTGTTTTAGTCAAATTGGCAAATCTCTGTAATATTAAAGTCTTGCATTCAAATATTACTAAAAAACAAAACTGAGAAACTATTAGCATTCAAATATACTTGAAGCATCAAAAGTAAAAGCACACATGCACAATTGCAGGATAATTATACTATTACACATGTTGTTGCAGCAATGTGTTTATAGATTTTGCAGCTTTCACTTTATTTTATATACTGCTACTGTAGAGTTCAAGGTTCACTTCACAATAGTTTTGCCTTATCTGATAATTAATGATTTATTTCTTATCATATTCAGCATTATTAATCAAGTACCTCAACATTGTAATATATAGACATTTTATTTATTGGGATAAACCCCTTGAGATGCACCAAGGACAGTAGATGAATAGATGTTCTTAGAGACTTTCTACCACTTGGAAATGTTGTATAACAAAGTTGTGCTTTGATTTAGTTACCATGTAAAACACTTTTCCTAACACTGATGTCATGAAGTTTGTTTTGTGAAACAGACTCTTGTGTAAACCATTCTATCTTCAAGTTTGGCAAAAAGTGTTGTTATTCTCCCAGTGGAGGATGACATATCTCTGAAAGGAATGAGAAAGCTCTGTGCCTCACGAGGTCATTAAACTCTTTAAAGACCTGTAAAACTGCTTCAACCAAGGCCTCATAGTTTCAGAAAGAGAAGATTCATTTACTCCTGATAACAGATAAGGTCAGTGGTGTTGTCGTATGTTTTCTGTGATACTGACTGGGTAGTTGGCAGGCCAGGACCTCCGCTCTGAGACACAAGCTGCCGTTCCAGCTCTGCGGCAGAATGCGGATGTACCGCGCCACCACGGGCGTAGAAAACTGACTCAGCACCGGCGTGTCCTTATCCACATTCCCATAGAACAACTGCAGGAGGACCATCACACAGAATAGAATATTACGTTTTTAATCTGTCATTTTAAGCTTTTATTTATTTATCTTTAACTAACCCATTCAGCGTAGCCATCATGAAGTATAGTCCAGTCACGGCTGTCGTTACTGAAGGACACAAAGTAGGAGGAGACGAAATCCTCCCTATAGGAAAAATGTTTGATTAATCAGTAAACATTTTAACAGACCTGTATTGAAGCTAATTTCTGACAGGAGAAAATAATGTCTCAAGTCAAAATTATGAATAGTTTTTTATACTTAAGTTCCTTTCGGCTCTTAGGAACAATACTGTGTCTTTCAGCTCACGTTTTGTTTTGTGCACCCAACATTTACTGTTTTGGTTCAGTCACATCATTTGAATTTCCCGCTTTCTAGCCATCCGAGAAATCCAATCCACACTACCTGCTCAGCAGACGGACACAGTAAGAGACTCGCAGGTGAACATAGTGCAGCATTTAGCCTCTAGGTCAGGGGTTCCCAACCTTTTTTTCCAAGAGCCCCCCCAAATGACTCCTGTTGGAAGTTGCGCTCCCCCCCACACACACACACACACAAGGGGGGGGGGGGGGGGGGGGTAATTAAAGTTTAAAAGTCTCAAAAATGCTACAACTACTGTCACAAACTGGATGAATGTGAAGTATTTTGTTAAAGGAGGATGAAAGCGTAATTAAGGAGCACTATTGGAGTGACTTTGATGGTTATTGGACTCAGGATTAATTCATTTGGATTCCCGCTGTAAAAAGAAATTAAAGGACGGCGCAAGTGGAAACAATTCACAAAGGCATTAAACTGTTTAAAACACATGCTCAAAGTAAGCCGGATTTTGCCGATGTGTTTATGTCAGTGTTTCTCAAACTTTTTCATACCAAGGACCACTTAATCAATAAAAAAACGCTCGCGGACCACCTAACTCCACAAATATCCAAAATAATATCGTTTTTCTAGAACAGATTACAAATCGCCTGAAAATGGTACAAACAAGTGGCAACATGTGTGATGAAGGTGTTGCGCTGGGCTATATCATACAATCGAAAGTGAGATATTCCCGCGAGAGTGCGTAAAACTTTAATTTATTAATTTATTTAAAATGTGAAATTGTACCAATATACTCACGGACCACTAGGGGGCGCTCACGGACCACCAGTGGTCCGCGGACCACACTTTGAGAAGCACTGGTTTATGTGGATTCAAAAGTCGTAAATAATCTACAAAATGGAGGAGACCGATCTGATCGGAGCAACTGTGACAAATAATCCAACTGAAACCGGCATGGACAATGACTATGTTTTAAAAATGCGCTTATCCAGACAAGCCTGGTTTGGACACTTTACGGGCAGAAGAAACATTTCTATTAAAGAAAAAATTTCTTTCTTTTTATGCCTTTAATACTAACTTGAATTTTTATTAAAATTAATTAATCAATTATTTTTTATATTTTATTGTAATGTAGAGACAAGGCTTTTAGTGACAATCATGTATTGCCTTACAATTATATGTAAAAAAAAAAAGTGTAAATATGATATTTGGCCTCAAATCATCTGAGGCCTGGCGCCCCCCCTGCGATCTTTGGCACCCCCCAGGTTGGGAACCACTGCTCTCGGTGACAGATCCGCCAGGAGTTGGTAGAGACCATAAACGGAGCTAAAAGTGAGGGCATTTTGGACTCGCTATTGGACTATTGTAAGGTTTCTGTAAATACACATTTAAATAGTCTGGTCTAGACCTGCTTTGTATGAAAAGCGCCCTGAGATTACTTCTTTAATGATAAATCTCTTAATAAAACAAGTTGAATTGCCCTCATTTTTCCTGCAGAGATGGGCTTCCAATGTTCTATAAATGTGACATACAAAACAATGAATCACAACAATAGACTCACAGTTGGTCTGAGTTTCTTCCCTGAGTGATGACCGCAGTGAACTCCACCTCTCGGCGGGCATCCACCTCAAACCAGTGGGCCTTCTCTTCCGGCTCCGCGCACCACGCACCTCCGAACAGATCGTCCTCATTATCAGAGCCCTGCAAGGAAACACATCTTTCTGAGACAGGAGACAGATAATTGCTTTGAGAGCAGACTTTCAATATTCCCAAAGTAACTATTGTGTTTTATGTGTAGCCTACCTGCATGTTGAGTCGTCCCCTCTGAGCCGTGAAGCCGTAGTGAGACTGAGAGGACGCCAGCAGCTGGTCGTCCTCCACCCGGTGAGACTCCAGGCCAAGAGGAGGACACTCTGAGAGGGAAAGCAAACACAGACAGGGTGTGTTCAATGTTTCAGAAATACTCTGATTCAAAACACACATTTGATTCATTCTTGGAAGCCACAGAACGGCTTTAACAAGAGAGTTTAAAGCATTTTTTCTTTTGAATGAAGATGTCCTTTAAAGACAATGTAGTAGTTTAAAAAAGGTCTAATGGATTAAAAAAATGAACAGTGGTGAAAGTATTTAGATCCTTTCCCGAAGTAAAGCACAAATTAAACACTGTGTAAACACTCCTGTCAAAAGCACGCTTCCAGCTTAATACTTTAAAATGTAATTAAAATAATGAAAAGTGGAAGTATTCATTGTGCAGGAAATTGTGTTTGACTATTATATAGGATTTTACTGCTGCATTAATATGTATGTAGCATTTTACTGATGTAGATATAGACATAGAGTAATGTAAATGTATGCTGTCAGAAACTGTAAATGCAGTAAAAAGTACAACATTTGGCTCTGAAATGTAGTAAAGTAAAAGTTTAAAGTAGCATCAAAAGCCAAATTGTGATAAGTAGTGTACAAGTACTTGAATACTGTTAGTTGGTATAAGTACTTAGTTACAATCCACCAATTAAAAGGATTTGTGTTCCTGACAGTATTTCTCTTACTTTTTGGTTCCACAGGCTCTGAAATCTGCTTCAGTCGCTCCTCCTCTTCCTCCTCCCACTTCTTCCTCAGCCGCTCAGCTTCAGAGTGTAACGAAGAAACAATATGTGTCAAAACATGTTCTCAAATGGACCTTGATCTCCAGCCAACCACCTACACCAAAATATTTCCATATGTGCTCGCACAATGCACCTTCATTCCCATTCATACATTCCTCATGTGTTTCTTGCCTTTAACATTGATTAGTTTAGTCTATTTGAGCGAATGTATTTAAGGCTGTTCATGCGGAAAATATGTGATGATGATTTTATATTTGATTTGACAGGAAATACCAAAATGTTGTGTAAGGCTTTTACAGACAGCTGTTGGAAATCCCTCCTCCATCCTCTATCTCTCCCAGACCCTTTTGTTCTAAAATTGTCTTTAAAAGAACACTGAAGAATAAAGGATAAAAGAAAACGCGGATAAAAGTGGGTCTTTTTTGACCCAGTAAGGTGGTTTTCTTAAGTGTATCTTTGTAATTACATTTTTGTATCATTTCATATTCCAGCTATTCCTCAAAAAACATGTTTTGGATATCATGCCATTCAAATTTTTTATTTAAATGTTATACATTTTAAGAAATTGTAGTTTTCGTATTACTACCCCAAGCTTCCATAAGTGGGTCTTTTTGGACCCTGTGAGGTGGTTTTCTTGAAGTATCTTTGTAATTACATTTTTTTATCATTTCATATTCCAGCTATTACTCAAAAAACATGTTTTGAATATCATGCCATTCACATTTAAAATTTAAATGTTATACATTTTAAGAAATTGTAGTTTTTGTGTTACTACCCAAAGCTTCCATAAGTGGGTCAAAAATGACCCGCATGCATTTTCTATGGAATTACGTTTTTTTTTGAAAATGTAAAAAAATGTCTAAAATGAGAAATACTGAAAAATTAAATATAAAATATTTCTAGTGTGAACCAAAATATAATACTAAATATTATACAAGTGATTTTTCTTAACCAAAAATGGCATAAAAACACATTATTCTAATACGGGTCCTTTTTGACCCACTTATGGAAGAGTGTAGTCACTCAAGGGTTAACAATCAAGGGTCAAGGGTTAACAATCTTTAAAAAAAAAAAACTCCTCAATTTATGATAGTTTCATGTTTAAAAAGGAGTATTATTTTCTTGATGGTCACTCTATTTCTCATAAAATAAAATAAAATCTTTGTATGGGACTATGGCGGATTGATCCAAACAATTTCAAGGAAAATTAGATTATAAACCTTTTTCTGCCTTTTCTTTGCGAGCCTTATCCTCCTCTTCTTCTTGTCTCTTAGCAGCCACTGTGAGGAGACAATCAGAAACAGAAACAATTCATGTTAAATTTCGTTAAAAATTATTCAAAGCTAAAACTGCAGCACATTTATTTGTTTGTATCCAAATGATTGACGTACAGTCAGCGTAATCATACTCTTCATACCAGGGGACGACAAATGGGACACCGGTGGTTTCCTCTGAAACAGAAGGAAATAAGTGATAAAACATATCCCTACTTTCAAATCAAATCAAATCAAGTTTTATTTATATAGCACATTTATAAACGATTTTTGGTCGAGCCAAAGTGCTGTACATATAATAAAATTAGCCTACAGTAGAGACACTTTACAGTAAATACAACAGCACAGATTGTTCAGAATATCAGTATGAGAAAAACGACACCCTCTATCCTTAGACCCTCACATCGTACAAGGAAAAACTTCCAGAGAAAACCCACAGTTTAAGGGGAAAACATGGGAGAAACCTCAGGGAGAGCAACAGAGGAGGGATCCCTCTCCCAGGACGGACAGACGTGCAATAGATGACTTTGCAATCACTCCGTCAAGGATGTATATAGACCTAATTACATTACATTAAAAAAGTGTTAAATTAAATGAGGTAAGAGAAAAGTGTTCATAGTAATTCACAATACAATAAGGAAAATATAATAAATACACAAATAATAAAACTAGGATACTCTGGTATATTTCTCAAAAGTTACTGTCATTATTTATTTTCAAATTTGTTTTAATTTAATTATTTTGATCCTTAAGTTACATTGAATTAATTGGACTCTAATTGTAAAAGTAAGACAAACTAATAATGAGTCAAACAAAGTATACCATGTTGGAGCCTCTCTTCTTTGAAATCAATTCTTTAAATGAACCCAAACCTGGTATAAACATGATGACCTCAGTAGTTGTGGCTTTTTTGTCATCAGGATATCCAACAGGCCGCACATCTGTGAAGCACAGAGCACATGCTGTATTAATATAAAATGTTATAGCACAATCTCTGACATCAAACAAAAGACGTTATAAGCTCATAAATCCATTGACATTTTAGGGGAAATAAAACTGCATAAAAAAGGTATCTTCCTCTTTGTATGTCCTCCTTTAAAGTCTTTATTATAGTCTGTCTTTAAGTGTTGAAAACATCTAAATAATAAATCTGTTTCAAGGAAACTAGCAGTGTGCTGATTTGATGGAGCCTCCAGGTCCTTTTTCACATCACAGCCCTCATAGCCCGCTGGAACCTCTGAGCTGCGTCATAAAAGGCTCCATAAAGTCTTTGGCTCTGACTGAGTGGATGTTGGAGAAAAAAGTCTAACTACCCAGTAGTCAGCGCCGGGCTCATTGGGAGTTTTTGCTGGAATGGTTGGCTCTATGGAGATGTCTGCATGAATATAAAAACACCAAAAGTAACATTTGTGAAAGAACTAAAACCGTCTCCGGGTCTCACCCAGGCCCGGCTCCTCTGGCTCTGCCTCTGCAGGCGTCGTTGGGGTCACAGCAGGTCGTTTCACTGTGAACATCAAGTTAAAAGGACAGAGGTGAAATACTTTTTTTTACAAGAATAGACTTCAGATTTCCAAGAGGCTATTTTTTATCTGTAGTCCCTGGATAGATGTTGTTAGTCAACCTAAAGACACATTTGAGTAAATACAATCAAATAAAAACATGCAACATACATTACTGGAATACTTAATAAAAAAAATAAAACAAGCCAAAGAAAAAGAACATGATAAAACACAGGCAGTGCACAGACACTGGGTTGTAAGGAGCAGAAGATTGTGTCAGTGTTGGCAGAGCTGATTCCTCACTAACCAGGTTTTGAATTGGGATTTAAATAATTCCCTGCTCAACAAGTTGTATTTTTTGGGGTAGTGATGCGAGTAAACAGATTTCTTGTCCAGTAATTTGAGTGTTTGTTTGTACAATGACTCCAGTGGTTTTAATGTTGTTGTACTGGCATGTGACCAGGTGGTTAAACAGTAGTGTACATACCTGTTCCCCAGCCCAGTCCAATCAGCAGCCTCTCCTCCTCCTCCTCGTCCACAGAGGGTGACCCGGTGTCCGGCTGCACCGTGGTCGTCATCTTTAGCTTCTTGGTGCCTTTGGGGGCCTTTGGCTTCTTTGTGGGTTTTGGTGCTTTGGGTTTTTTGGTGGGTTTTGGTGCTTTTGGCTTTTTGGTTGGTTTAGGAGCTTTCTGCTTCTTTGCCTTGGCTTTCTTCTCTGCTGCTTTCTTTGCCTTGGCTTCAAAGAGACGAGGTAAAGGAGGAACACTTTTGGTTATTTGAAACCCGTAAAATGTGAGCATGGCACGTAAAGCAGCTTTGTAGTTTCTTTGTATTAGATATATACTTTTACTGCCAATTCTTTCTTCTTGTCTGTTTATATGTTGGATATATTTACAGCTAATTTCTTACTGTACCTAAACACGAAACAACTGAAACCTAACTAGACAAACATAAACTTTAAATGCTGCACAAAAGATAATTTTGTCAGTTCATTGGTTTGTTTTGGTCTGAGACCAAACAAGAAAGCAGTCAGAGGAGACCATTGCCAAGCCCTAATGACCTCCCCTTTGACAGTCAATACTGTACAGAGGAAATAGTTATATAAGAGGTGGATTTGCTGGCAAAGCAATAGGAGAGGTCATCGTCATGTTTTTTCCTCCTGGGAGCATGACTGCTCTGCAAATGTTATATTTAACATATTTGGGAAATACTGTATGCTTGCTTTTTTGTTAAGAGGAGACACTAATCTTTCATAATGCTTTTGTGTATTGTACAATGTCCGGTCTGTTTAGCCTAGCTTAGCATGAAACCATAAAGATTGGAAAAGTCTGGCTCTGCATGAAGTAAAAAAATACACCTACGAAAACCACCAACAGGAAATGTAGCCTAATTAAACAACCAGGTAAACCAGTAAATAATTAGTTAGCACAATTAAAATCAAACATTTTAAGGCAGTGTGGTAAATTATACTTGTGTGTTGTGCGTGCATGGTAGTATTTATGCAAATCCAACATTTAGTTTTCAAGACATTAAAAGACAAACACACGGATGTACGGAGGCGGTCTGGGAACCTTCAATCAGCTCAGTGTCGCCTTACACCTTCTCAGCTGTCTGATGAGAGGCTGCTTACAGACTTAAAAGTGTAAAATGGTTGGTTTCATGTTGAACATGGATTATTACAGAGAAGGTATTTTAAAGGAATTCAGGGTTTTTAATCCACCGTTGTTATGCAATCATCATCAGACTCCAACACAGACACATAGGCGGCTTGTTTTCTTCTGCTAGACATGTTTCCTGATGTTCCTTAAACACAACAACCCCTCACTGCCAATCCATTACTCGCCCCCGGTGTTTGGGCAGCCACTTTTTATTACTGTCAGTCACCTTTTCGTTCTGTGAGTCTACACAGAAATAACAAACAACCTTTTAATCCACAGGTCCACTGTCAGGATCAGACCTCAAAGCTTTTTCTGGTTTGTCTTCTCAATCCCAGTTATGTTTTTTTATCAAATGATGTGCATGATGGTGACAATTAATCATTGCTTAATCCAAATCAGGCTCGATGGGCCCAAGACATAATTCCCTTTAACAAGTGCACATTTGTTAGGAAACCACTGCCATGGACTGGCCAACATGGTGTCAAAAATCTAATTTAAGAAACTCAATTTCATAAGAATCCATAGTTGTTGAGATATTTCCATCTGGACCAAAGTGGTGGATCAACTGACAGCTTACTATTGTATTAATAAACAGTTTTTAATCAACTTAACTAAATAAAATGCATATCTAACCCTAACTGGTGGCATTTCAGCAAAGGAGTACTGGTTGGTGATTGGACTCCTGCATTAGCCTGCTGCTGTATATATGGGACTGGTGAAGCCAAACAACACTTTTGTTATGCTTGCAATAAATGTTATAAACACAATATTACAACAACCCGTAAAAGGATCCAAAAGTTGTAAACATTTGATTGTGAACAAGGGATGGTGAAGAAGTTGCATGCTCAGCAAAGCCTTCCCCAGATTTACAGAGCCTGAAGGAAGTGAAAAATAGTTTTGGCTTCTGTAATTATGGCCTGAAATGTAACTTACATTAGTCACACATGAACATCTCTGGCGGCTGGGCTTGTGGTTTTGCTTGATGCAGCGGAAAGTTAACATTCTGAAGAACATCAGTGCCATGAATGCTACTGAAAGCGGGCCCTCGTAAATCTGCTCACTTACGGAAAATCGTAGTGGAAATATTTCTGCTGTTGCTCCGAGTTTGTATTTTTCACAGATGTTGCTTTTTTGGAGACATAATCGAGGTACAGACGCCACTCTCACCGTAGCAACTAGTTCTCTCACTCTGCTGGACAAAACGTGAGTGCACAACCTGTGTTCCTGCCAGAGAGCGCAGGTCTTGTTGGTGCCAAGAAAATGTCAGACCACCAACTGGATCACAACAAGTTTCTGCCCCGTCACCTCTGAATCACTTTTATCAAAACAAATTCCCCATCTCTTCTGCAGCAAAAAACTCATGTGGTGAAATTTTAACAAAGGTTTTTGTGACCATATGTTGTCTTAGTCAAATAAATCTGTGGACGAGAGAAAGCCAGAGGCAGCTCCAGATAACAGAGTTCAAACCAAATGTTTTCCTTCCACAGAGATTGATTGCAGCCTTTCCTGTCTGTGTATCCTCAGAGTATTGGCTGCAAGCTGTGGCAGCATGCTCAGAGGCCAGAAAAGTTCAAAGGAATCTGCACTTGTTTGCCCTTGAAATGCCTAAATTCACCCAATAGTATACGTTGTGTGTCTGTGTTAGTCATACCATCATACCTCCTTCTTACCTGCCTCAATTTCCTCGGGTGTTTTCTTTTTCTTTGGTTTTTTGGTCTCCTCTTCCACCACCTCAGCAGGATCATCTGACATTTCAACACCTCCTTCTTCCCCCTGTCTCATGGGCATGACCAGTCCTCGGGTTTCTTGCACCTGAATCTGGTCCCTGGAGACTTTGATTTCCTTGACATCTTCTCGAGCACACACCAGAGCGCAGCACAGGGTCACAGCTGCCCAGACGACCAGCACCTCAGCCCTCATTTCTCCAATGAAAGTACAACGCAGGCTGGGAGGAAACAGACCAAACGTACTCCAAGAAAGATCCCTGAATATCAAACTAAATGTAGACCCCAAATCACAAACATCTGACCTGCAGATGCACAGTTTCCTCTGGGGGTCCTTAAGAAGTCTCAGGAGACATCAAAGGGAATTCAGAGAACAAAAGGATGAGCCTTCAGAGTCTGGAGAGCTTGCTCCTCTCTGATGTCAAAGTCAGCGTGGAGAGCAGAAGGAAACTTTGTGGGCTGGAGGTTTTAAAGCTGCCTCCTGGTCGATCTGGAGAGGAGGAAATGTATCTGTCTGGAGTGGATTTCTCCAGCAGCAGCAGATCAAAACACCTCCCTCTTCTTCTTCCTCCTCCTCCTCCGCTCCCCCTATATACTCCTCAGTCACATCTCTCCCTCATAGCCCTTCACCCCCTTTTCCCCTCACCCATCTCTAAGGAGAGGGGAGGAGCATCTGCCACATGTGACATTCCTACGTGGGAGGGGGGAAAGAAAGAAGGAAAGAAAGAAGAAACACAATTAAAGCAGGACATGTTTTGCTCTGTTCCGCCGTTGTTCTTAGAAAAACAGAACAGAAGAGAATGACTCAACAAGAATTGAGTAAATAAAGTACATTTGAGGTTGAAAACAATGTGTGTGCAACAATGCAACAGATGTCGTTTTCTTTGTAAGTTGCAAGAAACTTGATTAAGGCAACAGAGATGAAATGCACTTACAGTTAATGCAGATGCAGCCTCACTTTGTCTGCTATGACCTGTAGCTCATGGTTGCTAATGTTTAAAGATGTGCTCATTTATATTTCTGGGCACTTTGTATGCAGCAGAACACTGAAATTACAACATTGACATATTATCCCTGTCGTTATGGCAAACATATTGATCCATTATTGATTCATTTACCAGACACAAAGCAACACTATCATTATTTACGTTTCCTCAAACGTTTTGACTACAGTGAAATGGTCTTTTTCTTTGTTGGATGGTTCCGGACTGAGTGTAAGTGGCAGCGGTGATTGCAGCTGGTTTATTTCTCGAAATGCTTAAAAGATGTTTTTTTGAAAGCCTCCTTTTTGTTTCCCCTTTAGCATACACTGGGCAATCCTTTACGAAAGAGAGGACGTCATGCCATCCCACAATTCCTTGCAGCAGCGACATTTAAAGAATGCCTTTCATATTTAGTTGCTTACTGTGGCTCTCACTGAAACACTGGACTGTAATAGAGACATCATTAGTGTTAGTGTGCTTTTACAACTATGACAATTCAAAATGTCTGCTGTGGCTGAAAAAAAAGGAATCCAGTTTCTTGATGTGTCTGCATGTTAGTCCACTATTCAGCCTCCTTTTAGTTTTATTTCTGTGTTCATATCTTATATATACAGTCTATGGTTCATATATGCCAATTGATCAGTGCAGCTTGAAAGACTTTAGGCCCACACGCTTCAGATTTGTCCAGATGTCTGGTAATTGTGACGGCTCCAACTGGCCACATGTTTGGTATCCATCCAAAATGAAGACCTCTGCAAGATGCGCCAAATGTCAGAGTTGAACCTTTCCAGAGCAGCCTCTTCAAAATATTTCCTGGTCCCCTGCTGCACTCTCAATAGTACCCGTAAAACATGCATGAAACGTTTAAACAATTTAACGTTAAAAAGATGTGAACTGGACTGAACCGTGCTGAGTACTTATGTAGTGATATCTCGATGAAGAAATCTTATTGCACAACATTTGTCCATTGTGGTTTGGGTCAGTGACAGGTCTCAAAGCATCGGGCCCACCACAGTCCGAAAAACTGCTACCAGATGTGAGACTGAAGTATTTATGACTCGGTGAACAAACTGAGTCATGTTAAAAAATCAGCTGAGAGTTATTATTTTCTGCCTGGTCATCTCAACTTCAGACAATTGATACAAATGGGACAAAGTAAATTAAATATGTATAAGTATTGTAACAAATCATAAGTAGATATTTAAACAGTATAGTAGCCTACATGTGACAGGGCAGCAGTGAAGTTTAATGTATTGGAGCAATTTCAATTACACAATTATATCAAACAGTGCAGGGAGAGCTAGAAAACCAACTGGGCCTATTTGAAACCTGCACCTAAATAATGATAACCTTTCACGATGTTATAGTGAACACATTATTAAGGTAATACACCGAAAATATTATGACTTTATAATACAAATGGCCAACAATTGGATCGTCACACTAGTCTGTTATAGGCCCCAAACACAGGACAGGACTTCAGAGAGGGATTGGTTGGTCAATACAAGCAGGGATTAGGATATACACTAATGGATATTTAGCCGATCAAAATGCCATGATGCTATGCACTCCGATTTTAAATTGTCTGATATTAATCTTAGTGTCTGTAATAAGTTAAAATATCTTGGACACTTTATTACAGAACGAATGACAGATGATGAAGATATTTATAGGCAATGCCGCATGATGTATGCACAAGCAAACATTCTCCTACGTAAGTTTGGTGCGTGTACAGATGGAGTGAAGATGTCTCTGTTCAGAGCATTGCACACCGCTCTATACGGCACATCTGTGGTCAAACTACAGAAAAGCAAGTTTACGGAAACTTCAAGTATTATAATGATGCCATGAGAATATTGCTGAAGAGACCTCGATGGTCTAGTCACTAGAGCAAGTGAAATGTTTGTGGTTGCAGGAGTCAATACTCTACAAGCTGTTTTAAGAAATCTTATGTATAAATGTATTTGCCGGCTTAATGACTCTGATAATGAAATCCTCTTGGCCTTATCGAACATAAGGTATATAGTACTACTACCAATCGCAGCTGTGGAGACATTGATATAGTTGTCTCTTTGTAGGATACTGATTTAAATTATTCTTAAACTATGAATTATTTTTATGCTGTGTATGTAATTTATTATATGTAATGCCTTGTCTTTTATCTGGACCCTGAGTCTGTAATAAAGTGTTCACTCCGACACAATAGGTGGCGATATGGCTTTTAAAGTTGGTTTGTATTCCAAAAATGTACCCAGATATATAGTAGAAGAAGAAACTCAAAACAAAAGCACATTCTGTATCCTGTCAAAGATTAATGTAAGTGGCCGTTTCTCAATCTCGAGGATTTTGGCTTCCAAGCCAATATTTCAAGGATGCTACGTCATCGAGTGCCGCCGAAGGACTGTTCCAATCTCCAGCATACTTGGAATTCCACCGAGGCCGCGTCCTTGGTTTGGGGGAAATTTCGAGGCTGCACATGGGTAGACTTCTCGTCCTTAAAATCCCCACAATGCTTTGCGCACGGACCAATTTCAAAAACCCTTGCGGAGAATGGCTGAACCGACGCAGCACATACATACAGTAGGTATGTAGTGGCGTAGAACATGTGTTGATAAATGTGTTACTTTGTTACATTTGTTTGTTATCACCAAAAATGTGTTCCGTGAAAGTAAAGCAAGTTCATAATTAGATAGACATCGTGAGTTATTTATTTTCGGTACAGTTTATGTTGAAACCGTTAGAGAGAGTGGCACACTTGTTAGCCTGTTCCATTCTTCTTCGTTTTCCGCATGGTTTTCCGTAGCCGTGGCTTGGAAGTATACTTGCTTCGTTTCTGAAGGAAGTGACTTGGAAGTACGCGACTACCAAGCCAGCATCCTCGCGATTGAGAAACGGCCACAGTATCGTTTTGACAGGATAAGATCAAATATGGCAAGTAAGTCAACTCATAAATCTAAGTCCTTCTAAGTTCATGCTTTAAGACGAAGATTTGGAGGAGAATGCTGACGACTCTGCTGCACCAACGTTTAGATTTTCTGAGGACCAGAGAAAGTTTGGAGAGGTGATAGACGAAGACAAGTAGGTAATGTCATTGTGGAATTACCAATGTTATGATAATGTAGGCTACAGTCTAAATAAACTGTAATTTGGATAGCAGTCCTATTGTCTGAGTTAGTGAGCAGGAAAGGACTCTTTTAATGATGTTATGTCCCTGCAGTACAAGGCTGACCTGGTTTCTGGTGACCATATAGCCTACAGGTGACAGTTTATACTCCAGCCCTTTTATTATCTTTACACCAGCATGGAGAAAGGCATGTCAGTTCCCCTGTGTGATAGTGGGCAGGAACTGCATGATTGATGCCATGAAGAATTCTTGGACATTAGATGGATATTTAAAGATGAAAATGTGCATAACAAATACACAAAATAAGCTATAAACTTCAAATTTCTTCAAGCACATTTCAAGGGAATATGTGTCGTTATCTTTGTTGAGTTTTTGCTGTTTTGAATCAAATAAGTGAAGATTCAAGTTCTGTTTTATATTTGTTGTTTTATAGGCTTATATCCCATTTTATATAATGTCTATTGAGTAATATGTACGATTAGAAAAAAACTTCATGATGCAAAAAATGACAACTTGATAAGACAAAACTGTTATAAATACATTTTATCAGATTATATTTACAATATGATTCACTCTGACCACCTGGGGGCGCTTTAGGCCCCCAAATGTATTTTAAATGTTCTACAGCAGGGGTGTCAAACTCAATTTCATCGCGGGCCACATTCGCATAAAGGTTGCACTCAAAGGGCCAGTTGTAACTATATAAATATATAATATATATATAAAATAATGTATTAAATTACATGATTGCCTCTGAATTGGATTATTATTATTGGATAGGATAATAACTTAGTAATTAACAGGTAATTAACTACGTCTGAAAGCAGAAGTCCAGGGCAAATAATTGCAAGTCTCTTCAGTGCGCATGTCACAAAACGAGATGCATTGTGGGACATGTAGTTTATGGGCAACCTGCTTCTGTAAAGTGGCATGTAACCGTATAATAAACGTATTATATTCTTTGCAAGCTCTTGCGGGGCCACATAAAATGAAGTCGCGGGCCGGATTTGGCCCCCGGGCCTCGAGTTTCAGACCTCTGTTCTACAGGAAGCAGAGAAAATACATTTTATACATTAAAAACAAAAATGTCTGACATTTTGATTGTACAATCCTTCAATGAGAGATTACAGCAGTGGAGATCAAGTATTTTATGAAAGACATTTCAAAAAAAGTGAATGCAACGTGCCTGACAGGAGAACAATATGTATGACATATTCAAACATATACTTAATCATGACAGAATATAGAAACCACATAATGCAATCAATCATATTCTTCATAAAGTTGAAGAAAGAGTATAATTCATCAAGTAAATAAAGGTAATCCAGTGTTTAGTGTGTATAGTCTTTGTCCTGGCCTGAACCAAATCTGGCACAGTGCCTGACCTTATGGGACCTTTAGCAGGATGGCAGGTTGCCCATTGTGGCAGTGTCAACATAACCATTCAATGCGAGGGCCGTTTCCTCCTGTAGTGGCATGGCAGTGTACATGCAGGCTGTAGGCTTCTGCGTAGTGCTAACTGTGGAGGACGTGTAGCAGTTTCCTCCTTCTCCATTTGTCTCCTGGTCCACACAAGGGCACACGTCTTCCCCGGTCCCTTCTCTCTGCAGCAGTAGCCTGTTATCACAGTCCACCCCCTTCACTTTGCTGTAGTCCTCCCCCTTGGGCAAGTTGGGGCAACCTTCAATGTGGCCACACCTGGACACCACTGGCTGCAGGAGCACCATATCCTCCTTGTTGACCCTCTGGACTTCAACGTACTCGGTGGCGGGCGATCGTTTGCATCCGATGTTGGAGATGTTGACATCGCTCTGGGTTTGGAGTGCCCGATGGGCCAGTGTCTGGGGATGGAGATGATTTTCTTTGTTGCTCAAGCAGAAGTCCGTGTAGCTCGGTCCCAGAGCGTCCTTGGTGCCAGGCTGGGTGAGGAAGGAGGACGTGGAGAGGGAATGCTGCTTGGCCGTCTCAAGTGAGCTCTGTTTGTCCAGGGGGTTTGAGCCATATTGAGGCAGTGGAGAATACACCGAGGGCCAGGTCTTCACCTTCCCACTGGTGTCGTGGTTGATAGCTTCCTCCTTCCAGCCCTGTGTCTCCATCAGACTGCTCTCCCGATTTGTTTGCCTCTCTTCTTCTTTTGTTTCGCCGCACTTGTCCATCAGCAGAGTGTGGCTGTCGCAGCTGCCCCGGCCTGAGTCACTGTCTGATCTGGAGTTCTCAGATTTAAGGCACCCGTCAAGTAGATCCTTGCTCTCCTCCAACATCAGCTCTGGCTCCTCGGGGACATACACCTCTAAGTACTCCACCAGCATCTCCTCGTATTTAGATGCTGAGGCCGGAGGGAAGTTGGGCACAACCAGAGCGCTGAAGATCTCGTCAGAGTTGCCATTCTACACACAGAGAGGAAAGCTTGATTACAGAAAAGCAGTAATGCAATCAGTTGATATTCTCAGAGTTACTTTATAAATCTGAATTTGTTCACATGTGGCTGTTTTACCTTGAGAAGCTTATTATCAAATCCTTTGATTTTAGGACCAGGGACTGGCGGCAGGATACAGTGCTTCAGACTTCTCACACAGGAGAAAGAGATATATGTCAGGGATGTAGACGAAATTAATAAATATGAGAGGAAAATATAAAATCGTGAATATAAGGTTAAGTGTCACATCCTCTGGAGATATTTAACAGTTTCTGGAGCATATCACGGATTCATATCACATCAAAAGTTGAACGTACAAACTTAATGGAATATTCATTATTATGGTTTTTACCTGTGACTGTTCATGTGCAGCAACCATGTGAGGATGAGGAAGATGAGGGCAGAAAAGACTGCAACGAGGATCCACATTGACTTCTCCCGATGGAAATCTTTAACACACATCGCAACAACGTGAGTTATTTCTTCCTAATATTATTGGATTATAAAGTTTATTGCTTATTTATTAATGATAATTATTGTACTTATATTCCATCACTGGAGACTAAAGTTAGCTTAGCTTAGCACAAAGAGAGGAAACAGGGCAAACTGCTAGTCTGGTTCTGCCAAGATAGCAATTAAGTATATTTTAAGAAAGTAAATGTAATATACAGTATATGTGTTCTGTAATGTTAGTAGAGAAGGCAAGACAAGTTTATTCATAGAACATATTTAAACAAAAAGCAGTTAAAAGGGCTTTACACAAATAATAATAACATTATAGGAGTAGATGTCTTACAGTCAGGAACTTTGACGTAGGAAGTGGAACTCCATTCACTCCAGAAGCCGTGATCGGGTTTACAGCGCACCTCGACAAGATATTCCCCCCCCGAGCGCAGGCTGAAAATGTTAAACATCTTCTGCTGGCCTGCATGGTGCATCTGGAAATACAACACAATAACACAGTGAGCAGATATGCACAGTGTGTTGGAGCTATTCATTGTTTTGTAATATTCAATAGTTTATTTTCTTGCTGTTTTGTAGTAAGTTGATCATTATTTAGTGTCGTTATTTAAGTTAATTTGAGGAGTTATAAATGAGCTTCAGATCCTGGGTGATTTGGGCTTTGTTTGCAGACAGATAGAGGAGGGTTTGGACACCGGAAACTCAAATGATCTTTTAATTCTTTGTATCATGGTAAGAGAGGATGTAAAAAACAATGTTCTTTGTGCTGTTTGATTGTTGGAAAGGGAGAAAATAAAGACACAAAAGCTGACACAATGTGTAAATCCATATTTAGTATCCATAGTATTAAGTATGGTTAAACTATTGGAGTAGATATAAGAGAAGGTTCAAGTGCAGAACAGCACCTCAAGTTCACTAACATGCAGTAAGTTGATCATTATTTAGTGTCGTTATTTAAGTTAATTTAAGGAGTTATAAATGCTTTTTTTAAAGGCAGTTTCAGGCCCTGGGTGATTTGGTTTTTGTTTGCAGACAGATAGAGGAGGGTTTGGGCACCGGAAACTCAGATGTTTTTTGTATCAGGGCAAGAGAGGATGTACAAAACAATGTTCTTTGTACTGTTTGATTGTTGGAAAGGGAGAAAATAAAGACACAAAAGGAATTATTTCCCTGGACAATCGACTTTATCCTGCGTAAAAAAACCTTATCCTTTGGCAGCTTACTATGAGTGTTTTATTTGTTTTTGGTTTGAGGACAAACAGCTGCCACAATATGTCAATATATATTTAGTATAAAGTATGGTTAAAATATTAGAGTAGATATTAGAGAAGGTTAAAGTGCAGTACCTCAGGACTAGTTCACTAACATGAGCACTGGAACATTTGAACCATTGATTGGCTCCCTATGGTGAGCACCAGGTGATGTACCTCCCAGTCGTCCTCCTCCTCCTCCAGCCTGACGCGGAGCTCGTAGATGAGAGTGATCCAACCGGAGCGGGTGTCAGCTTTATGTGGCGGTTCCCATGACACAAGGAGGAAGGGCCAGCCCTTATCCTCCATGACTGCCACCGTCAGCTTCTCTGGAGGATTAGGCTCGACTGGAGAGGAAGAGAGGAAATGTGAATAAGAGAGGATGTGTTTTCTTTGTTTGAGGGTTAAAAGGAGGAAGATAAAAAGTATTTAAACATTTACATAACCAGGCATGGGAGGATGGGAATATTTCATGTCATAACTACCAACAAAATTTTCTTGATAATCTTTAAAATATGCTAAACAAAATTGCAAATCCTGGAATTACTATACCTTATATCATAATTAAAGTGTGTTGCCTTTGGGCATAGAAAACACACCTTAACACCATGAAAGGGCATGTGTTGTGCCGTGTGCAAACACCCTGGCTCACGTCCAAGTCAAGTTGAAGAGATGCCAATTAGAAGGCTAAGATGAATAATGACATCAGCGTTGGTAAATACTTGGTGTTAAATAAGTTAAACAAAGTAATGATTTCCATTGCGTCAGAACTGAAGTTTAATGGAAATAAAAAGCTTCTTACAGCAGTTTGTAAGCCATTCAGAGGCTGAGCACACGTAATATTATGCAAGGGGTTTTATGGTCTTCATATGAATTCCTTGTCACCCTTCATAACAAACTTAACAATACAATCTTGATAATTACTATAAACTTTGGTATGATATTCATGAGTCTTTTTTTTATTATTCAATGTTGCGTTGAGAAGTGGGGACTGTGAAAAGAGGATTATTTCTTTACTTGTTTTTACGGCTCCTGATCATTGAACAGCAAAGGAAATAAAACCTTGGTGAATTAATTGATACAAAAAACAAGAGAACAAATACAAGAAAATGTGTTGGCTTTCTGCATTAGGTCTTTTGCGTGAGTCTGTTCTTTTTTTAGTTAATAATTCCAGTTTTTAAATAAGGCTCTATTTTAAGTCACTCTTTCACAATTATCCCAAAAATGGAAATGTATAACAATCAATTTCTTGTGACTGTTTTATTTATCATGATTTGAAATACCTATATCATATTTAAACCAAGTAGCCAAGTGTGTGTGTGTTTGAGATAAATGTTAATATTTAGGCTTTAAGTTATCTTCACGGCCGACACATTGTAAGTTATTGTAAGTTAAGGCAGATAACAGAATGATATCAATGCAGCTATTAGAGACGAGAGGAGCACTTTGAGATAAGCAGCCTCAAGGGCAACCAGAGTTACTTTAAGCCTTTTCATTATTTTATGAAACAGACAACATGCATTGCAACATGACAGAATGGGACCTAATTTCTACCTCATCTAATATTAATATAATGTATTCATAGTACTGCCCACTATTTATATTTAATCAGATGAAATAAAAAGGCTGAAATTGTTCTAAATGTTTCAATGTCAAAAAATCCCACGAGGAGACAAAAACCAGCAGTGTGTGTTAGCTAATCTCTCAGTGCTAAACACAACTTGTATGAGGCTTCCAACCCAAAGCCCCATTTGTTTCTACTTTTAGGTCACAAACATATAAATATTTAATTTAAAAAATGGCTATGTAATTTCCTAAAACAGCAGGCCATTGTAGAATCTAAAAAAAGATCACTCGACGAATATAAAATAGCCTAATTATTTTCGGACTATTTTCAGCCATGGAGTAATACGTATTCTGTGCTCTGGTTAGTATTTTCAGCTGCAGGACTGTGTTCCTGCGAACATGTCAGTGCTACAGTTGGGCTCTTATAAGTTTTATATAATAGTGTTGCACAAAAGAATAAACTATAGGCTTGGAATGGCAATATTTAATAGGAGCATCAGTTAATTTATTATAAATATAGAATATCAACAGATTTATCCTTTAACGGTGCTCACATTCTCTTCATTTCGACTGTACATATCAACCATTTACTGTAAAAATAGTGACTTTCATTGCACAGTTACAACTGAATGGACGGTGAGTACCCAGATTGCCTTGTCCCCAGTGTTCCACTAAGCAGCTGTGTGTTAGAATACACTTTTGTAATCCTTATGGGGCCATTGTGTCTAGAACGAACATCACAATAGCAAACAGAACGTGTTTCCTCACCAATATAAACCACATCTATGTCCACTGGATCAGAGAAGGCCCTCCCCAGTGCGTTGGTGGCCACCACGCTGATGTTGTAGTTGACCCAGATGGACGTGTCGTTCTTGTTGAAGAAGCAGGAGTTCTCTCCAGCTGTGTGGTAGTCGGGACACTCGTACACTGTCTCGGAGCTGTAAGAGAGGCAGGGGAGCAGCATGTCATCGCATGTGTGCATGTGTACTGTATTGCACGGCCACATTTCCGAAGAACAGCATGCAAACTTCACGCTACATTTCCTGAAACTTTGTATGAGTGTGTGCAGGACAAGATGAGACACTAAGAGAGGGTGATTGCAAGATAAATAGAAATACAGAACTAGAAGACCATTTTCAGAGCCATAAACAGCAGCCTCCGCCTCGCCAAGAACACAAACAAACCCCAAGCTGCTTATTCTAAAATGTGAATGAGCTGATTAATAACTTAAGGAAGACTTGACATTCTTTTTGCCCAAGTTTTTCAATTCTCTCTCTGAACATGACAAACAACCATGTGTTTGAGTCGGATGTGTGACATTGAAGAGCAAAATCGTGTATAAGATGCATGTTGAGCATTGTTCTGTCGACTTTGTGGTGCTTTTTTTTTTTTAATGCTGGGTAGTTTCCTTTTGTTGAACTATGTAGTAGGCTAGGCTATGCCCTTTAGATGAGATGATATTATCTTCCTCATACCGATCACTTTTTGCATTGCTTAAATAGCCAAATTCATTCCTATCTTTTAAATCAGAGCCTTATGTCTCCACCACTTCTCAATACAAAGTTACGCCTGTTTTTTTCTGTTTGAACTTCAACTTCTCCAGAGGCCTGTATGACGAAGCCGGTTCAACATAACCTGGATATGTTTGAGTTACCCGGTTTACCTAATCCAAAACAAACGTGCTCTCGCTAAGCGGTCCTACGACGCTGGTTATCAACTCGTTAACTCAAACCAGGGGGGTATACTACGAAGCAGAATTTTCGGTTAGCCGGCTAACTTCAGGGAAAACTCTGGGTTTCCAGTCCTACGAAGCTGGTTCTCTTTTTTAGTAGGCTAGATCTCCATGGTAACTTATGCTGTGCGGCTAACCTGGGGGTATACTACGAAGCAGGATTTTCGTTTAGCAAGATAACTTCTGGGATTTCCGATACTACGAAGCTGGTTCACTTTTTAGCGGGCTAGATCTCCATGGTGACTTATCCTGGAACCTAGCCTGTGCTCCGAAGCCGGATAGGTTCCAGGATAAGAGATCAACTCAACTATTATACTATTAGGCTATGTTAAGAAAGCTTAATTAAATATCTGCCACAACATAAGTAACCGGATCAAAGTAACATTACGTAGCCTACAGTCAGCGGCACTGTGAGTGCAGACGTCGATGTGTCCCATTATCATTCATATCACATCATATCACATCATAATGTAGGCTATCATACATTTCCTTATCTGAGTCAGCTGAGCCGTATCTGGCCGTGCAACACTCACAGTGTCACATAGGCCTACTGTATACAGAAGTATTATTTTAAGCAACACATTAAGTTGACGAAACACTCGAGTCAAATGTAATTAAAGTCAGATCCACTCGTGTCTTGGACGGGGCAGTGATATCATAAACCTGTTAATGTACGCATTCAAACACTTGTTCTGTTACCAGCTGTATTCACCTTGCAGGTGCAGCTATGTGGTTTTTATCCTGGATAAAGTGTTTAAGTCATGGATGTTTAAAGTTTAAGGTCTTCATATTTGACTAATATTATAGTTGACTTTTCATTCAGGAAGTATGACGCTGCGCTGTCAGTACGCTTGTCCATGTTTGTGATTGGTCGAATGCTCCAAATACCACCCCTTCCATGTGAACGCGCACCTAACTAGATAGGACACGGCTGGCTTGAGCGATCCACTTGATAACCCGCGTTGTAGGACCGTTTAGAGAGAGCGCGTATGTTTTGGATTAGGCCAACCGGCTAACTCAAACATATCCAGGTTAGGTTGAAACAGCTTTCGTAGTACAGGCCTCAGCTTTGCCCTATCTAGTTAGGTGCGCGTTCACATGAAAGGGGTGGGGCTAGCAACATTTGACCAATCACAAACATGGACAAGCGTACTGACAGCGCAGCGTGTCATACTTCCTGAATGAAAAGTCAACTATAATATTAAACAAATATGAAGACGTTTAAACATCCATGACTTAAACACTTTATCCAGGATAAAAGCCAAATAGTATGAATACAGCTGGTAAAAGAAAAAGTGTTTGAATGCATACATGATTAACAGGTTTATGATATGCCCCGTCTACAACGAGTGGATCTGACTTTAATTATTAATTAATTAATTTTTTTTTTTTAAACTTAGTACTTTTTAATGCATGCAACATATGTAACATTAAACTGTCTGTGGCTCTTTTTCTGCTGTAACAAATTACATTTCCCCTCTGTGGGACTAATAAAGGTATTCTGATTCTGACATTCTGATCTTACATAAAGAATATCTTACAAAAGCATATTTTATTACTATGGCTCTAATATTTTCCGCAGCACTAACCAAATTGTTCTCTTTGTTTCCAAATCCTCACCTTCATTTGCCTGCCTTCAGTCTCCTTGACTACAAGTAGCTTGCTAAATGAGTGAATGAAGCGTTTTAGGTGAGCAGTAATCATCTTTTATTTTATTTCTTTGTCAGTTCCTTATCTGGCTTGTACAATCTGAAATAGCCGCTGTCACAAACAGCTACCATATCATTTTCTGTAATCCTTATCCTCTTTCACCTGTGTGGGGACATCAATGCTCAAACCACCAGTAATTGCTATACTGACGTTAAGCTTATAAGTATTTGAATGTGGCGTCCTCATATTTGCTTTACGCTCAAAGCCTTTTATACTTAAATCAAACCAGCGTGTCCTTGTTTGCCCCTACATTTTACCTCTATTTATGGTCAACTATCCATCTGGCTCATCCAGAGGCCTGTACTACGAAGCTGGTTCAACCTAACCTGGATATGTTTGAGTTAGCCGGTTGGCCTAATCCAAAACATACGCGCTCTCGCTAAACTGTACTACGACGCGGGTTATCAAGTGGATCGCTCAAGCCAGCCGTGTCCTATCTAGTTAGGTACGCGTTCACATGAAAGGGCTGGTATTTGGAGCATTCGACCAATCACAAAAATGGAGAAGCATACTGACAGCGCAGCGTCATACTTCCTGAATGAAAAGTCAACTATAATATTAGACATGAAGAAGTTAAACTTTAAACATCCATGACTTAAACACTTTATCCAGGATAAAAGCCACATAGCTGCACCTGCAAGGTGAATATACCACTGCTACGCTGACGACACCCAATTAATTCTGTCCTTTTCCCGCTCAGAGACCCAGGTCGCACGCATCTCTGCTTGTCTAGCTGACATCTCTCAGTGGATGTCTGCTCATCACCTCAAGCTCAACCTTGACAAGACTGAACTGCTCTTCCTTCCGGGAAAAGATTGTCCCACTCTTGACCTAACAATCAACATCGGCACCTCAGTTGTTTCCCCGACTCAGACTGCAAGGAATCTGGGTGTGATCCTAGATAACAAACTGTCCTTCACTGCAAACATTGCTGCTACAACCCGCTGCTGCAGATACACTCTTTACAACATCAGGAGGATAGGTCCCCAGCTGACTCAGAAAGCGACTCAGGTTCTAGTCCAGGCTCTCGTCATCTCACGCCTAGACTACTGCAACTCCCTCCTGGCTGGTCTACCTGCATGTGCCATCCGACCTCTGCAGCTCATCCAGAATGCAGCGGCTCGTCTGGTCTTCAACCTTCCTACATTTTCCCAGACCACTCCGCTCCTCCGCTCCCTTCACTGGCTTCCGGTAACTGCTAGAATCCACTTCAAGACACTGGTACTTGCTTACCATGCTGCGAATGGATCTGGCCCTTCGTACATCCAGGACATGGTTAAACCGTACACCCCAGCGCGTGCACTACGCTCTGCATCAGCCAAACGACTCGCTGCGCCCTCGCTGCGAGGGGGACCCAAGTTCCCATCAGCAAAAACACGTGGGTTTGCTATCCTGGCTCCAAGATGGTGGAATGAGCTCCCCATTGACATCAGGACAGCAGATAGCTTACACACCTTCCGGCGCAGACTGAAAACTCATCTCTTTCGACTCCACTTCGAGCGATAGAACTATTAACAAAGCACTTATATACTAATAAAGGACTGGCTTATCTAAAGCCAGTTGAGTAGCACTTGAAATGTTTGGCTCTATGAAACCTGATGTACTTATATGATTCTGTTTTCTTCAAGGTTGTGTCTTCCTGGTCGAATGTACTTATTGTAAGTCGCTTTGGATAAAAGCGTCAGCTAAATGCAATGTAATGTAATGAATACAGCTGGTAAAAGAAAAAGTGTTTGAATGCGTACATTAACAGGTTTATGATATCACTGCCCCGTCTAAAACACGAGTGGATCTGACTTTAATTACATTTGATTCGAGTGTTTCGTCAACTTAATGTGTTGCTTAAAATAATACTTCTGCATACAGTATGTGACACTGTGAGTGTTGCACGGCCAGATAGGGCTCAGCTGACTCAGATAAGGAAATATATGATACATTATGAAGTGATATGCCGCGGACTGTACTTGATGTTACTCTGATCCGGTTACTTATGTTGTGGCAGATATTTAAGTAAGCTTTCTTAACGCTAATGTTATAATAGTCAGATTGCTCTGAAGATGGAGGTGATATTCTATTAATGTTCACGTTCACACAGTCGGTGATTTTTGCCGGCCGTCTTTCCTGCAACGGCAGCTTTTCTGTATTTCCTTTCTCCTGTAATATGACGTGATCGCTTTAAACTCCGCACACTGAGCTCTGATTGGTCAGCAGTCGGTGCTTTCACTGAGTTGAGCTCTTAGCCTGCAACCTAACCTGCTCCGGAGCAGGGGGGTATACTATGAATCTAGTTCAACCTATCCTGGATATGTTTTGAGTTATCCGGTTGATTTAATCCAAAACATACATGCTCTCGCTAAACTTTCCTACAACGCTGGCTATCAACTCGTTCGCTCAAGCCAGCCGTGTCCTATCTAGTTAGGTGCGCGTTCACATAAAAGGGGTGGTATCTGGAGCATTCGACCAATCACAAACATGGACAAGCGTACTGACAGCACAGCGTCATACTTCCTGAATGAAAAGTCAACTATAATATTAGACATATGAAGAAGTTCAACTTTAAACATCCATGACTTAAACACTTTATCCAGGATAAAAGCCACATAGCTGCACCTGCAAGGTGAATACAGCTGGTAAAAGAAAACGTGTTTGAATGCGTACATTAACAGGTTTATGATATCACTGCCCCGTCCAAGACACGAGTGGATCTGACTTTAATTACATTTGACTCGAGTGTTTCGTCAACTTAATGTGTTGCTTAAAATAATACTTCTGCATACAGTATGTGACACTGTGAGTGTTGCACGGCCAGATACGGCTCAGCAGACTCAGATAAGGAAATATATGATACATTATGATGTGATATGAATGATAATGGGACACATCGACGTCTGCACTCACAGTGCCGCTGACTGTAGGCAACGTAATGTTACTTTGATCCGGTTACTTATGTTGTGGCAGATATTTAATTAAGCTTTCTTAACATAATAGTATAATAGTTATAATAGTCAGACTGCTCTGAAGATGGGAGGTGATGTTCTATTCATTTTCACGTTCACACAGTCGGTGATTTTGGCCGGCCGTCTTTCCTGCAACGGCAGTTTAAACTGTATTTCCTCCGCACACTGAGCTCTGATTGGTCAGCAGGCGTGGTGCTTTCGCTGAGTTTATCTCTTATCCTGGAACCTATCCGGCTTCGGAGCACAGACTAGGTTCCAGGATAAGTCACCATGGAGATCTAGCCCGCTAAAAAGTGAACCAGCTTCGTAGTACCAAAAATCCCAGAAGTTATCTTGCTAAACGAAAATCCTGCTTCGTAGTATACCCCCAGGTTAGCCGCACAGCATAAGTTACCATGGAGATCTAGCCTGCTAAAAAGAGAACCAGCGTCGTAGGACCGGAAACCCTGAGTTTTCCCTGAAGTTAGCCGGCTAAGCGAAAATCCTGCTTTGTAGTACAGGCCTCTGCTCCACCAATCCGAATGAAACAAAATGACAGCGTGAAAGATGAAGCCGCTCACTTTTCTTTGCGATAGTACAAGGCGTAGGTAGTTGGCAGACCCCCATCAGAGCCTGGCTCCCACCAGCATGTGAACGTCTCTTTTTCCGGAGAACGACATCTAGTCTGTGTGGGCTTCTCTGGTGGGCTGTAGCCTAAAGACAGACAGGACAAATACGAAAATGAAGTCAAACACTATAAGAGACAGATGGGAATTGTGTATACTAGACAAATCCACAGATAAACAACACTTTTACGTATCCCCTTCTAATTGTTCTGCTCTTGCTGCTTGCTTATAAGATACTAGTACTACTACATCCAAACACTTACTTTTTTCCTTTGCATGTGCTGTAAAAAACAGCATCAACAGCAAGAGGACTTCCATGACGCTCTTCATCATGGCACCACAACCCATTGGCTGTTGAGTTCAGAGAAAACAGAAAAACAAAGACAGTTGATGTGATGCCCCTGTGCGTTCATCTAGAGAGGGTGTGGCTGTGCTGTCTGTGCTGTATTGATTGCCTTGATTGTAGTAACTCAGGGCACCTGGGTCTGGTGCCCTGCAGCTATGTAAAGCCTCTCTGCTCCTCTCTGCTTTCTCTTCAGTTGCTTCACTTTGTGCACCTCAACACCCTCACACATACATGTCCATGCAACCCTCACCCTGCATTTACCACTGACGTCCACACCTCATACTTTACTTACTTTGCACTTAATTAATTTGGTTGATTTGAATTGTTTGTGTAAATAAACATCTTTTGCTAACCGTTGACATGGTGTGTCTCCTCTTTGTAGTGGCCTTTTGAGCCAGGTCATAACAGTTGAGTATAGGGAAACTCTCTGATCTGTGCTTTTGACAAACTCGTGACCCACAATGTTTGATGCCGTCTTCCACAACAGCGTCTTCCACAACATGCTTGCAAGATAAAGGACTGCCCGCTGTGGTTGGATGTTTGTCACACATCCTCATTGCAAATAAAGAAATAAGGAAAAAAAAAACATGTTGATTCAATAAAATACTGGATACATTTCTTCTGAGATCATTTATGCTTAGAAAACATTTCAGCAATGATATTTTTTTGCGAATATTACTGAATCCTACCAATCGAGATAACTTCCAAAACACCCATGTCTTTAACAGACATGATAACGATTGCAAAGTCACAAAATCTGGTTCCAGAACCGTAAATAATGTGATGAAGTGAAAGAAAATCTCCTCCAAATGTATGCGGTTTTACTAGGGATTAAAAAAACCATCATCTCTGTTTCTGTCTACCTCGACCAGCTGGCACATGCAGCGTGACTGATTGCATAACCCAACTTCAGGCTTTTGACTCATCGACAGAGACAAACACAGCGGGAGGCTGGTTTTCCCCGACTCCCGTTTGCATGACTAGGAAATCTGCAATTCTCTATACACGTGCAGAGAGTTCTCAATGAACCAATGGCAAGCAGGGAGGGAGATGATGCAGAGGGTAAACAGATAGGAGAGCTGATGCATTGGATGTAAGAAAGCCCTTCATCACTCAGTTGCTCTCCCTTTCTTCTGATTACTGATGATGAGAAAGTGTTGCTGTCACTTGATGAATTGACATTTTAAATTGAGAGACTTCTTGATTTCCAGCTAAGCTAAACATGCATGGTGAAATTCTCACACAAAGCCTCCAAAATCCTCTGCCTTCCCACACTCAGTCTGTCACGATATGAACCTCAGAGCCATCACATGACGAGCACTCAGAATAGCCAATGGCACCGATCACTCCCTTAATCAACATTACATATTACTACCATCTGCTCGGAGATACAGGAACTTTCCCTTCTGCAAACGCAACCATGAGTAATCCTCATTGAGAGCTGTGGTGGAGGAATGCATACATAGATGTTATGAACATATTTATGTTGTTTGTGTTGTACTGGCCTTGAAAATAAAATAATTCAAGATGCAAATTAGGGTTGCACTATGATCAGATTTATACTTTATGATTACGTGGCCTAAAAGTGTTCATGATATAATCTAATTTATAAATGAAAATAAAATAAAGCTCTGTCCAATAAAAAATGTTGGGATACTGTGAGAAGTAAATTATTTATAATTAAAATGGCAGGAAATTGTTTCCTAAAAGTATTTCCAAACAGAAATATTATGGGATTGTTTTTTTATTGAAGCCATGGGAAGTCGCACTTTCGTATGAAAAAGGTTTAGCTTGAAGGGACATAAAAAAACCTGAACTATACATTATTTTTCTAAGATTATCAATAATGGTCCGGTTTTATTCTTTAGTGGTAGCTTTGCAGGCAGCTCTTTAAGGCTGCACCCTTCATTGTTATCACATAGACTTTCAGCAAGGGACTTTTACCAACTCTTCGTTATGGTACTTTTTTCAATATCTCCCCTCTGATCTGATAATTGGCATTAAGGTTAAGGCACTGGATTAGCCACCTGCTGCATATAGACTTCTTACGTCCCAAATTGAATAAGCTGCTAAGCTGGGAAAGCCCTGGTTAACTGTGAGAAGCTCTTGCCTCACAGATAAATAATGGTCCATGTTTACCTTGTGCTTATAAACTGTATATCCATCCATGTTTATGGTCTTCATAGAGAGACAACTTATTGTTTCTGCTTCATTTATGTCACTTTGAGATCACAAGATACAATTACAGACACACAATTAAAGAATTATATATAGGAGCAAATATTATTTAACTACTTTTCTAAAAATGTCTCGGGAATAATCTCAGATGTGTACCTGCGTCATCTATTAATTCTCTACATTAAATGGCATACTACAACATAAACAAACCAGCCAGTCAGGTCAACTAGAGGCTAAAACCTCAATTCAGACTCATGAATATCAATCATTTACGATTTATGTTCAGGAGCTGCTTTTCCGTTTCAAAAGGGGAGGGGAGAACGTGTCAAATGACATGTTGAGGTGAAAATGTGAGCATTGAAGCAAGATGATCCCCTCCGGGCAGAGTTGTACTACTACCCACCTTCGCAAAGGTGATTAATTCATGCACTGAAACACACAGCTGAGCATCGCAGGAGCAGTCAGGTTTCTTAGAACCTATAGTCTTTCTTCATGGAGGTTAAAGTAAAACATTTGAAGATTTTATTTAAATATGGGTCTGTTAAGTTACCATTCATGTCATATGGCAATATTCCTAGGTAAACCACCATTTGTGGTTCGTTGGAAATGATATTCGAAACCACATGTACCGCTTACGCATACAGCGACGTGCAGTCAGGGGAGGCAGAGCCTCACCTGTCATACTCCAATGTAACGGAAAAACAACTAAAGAAAAACTAAATATGAATAATAATAAAATGTCTCCACTGATCTGTGTTGTAAATGTGATTTCTGTATGATTCCAATCGCTTTTTATAGTCAAAATCAGCAAATTGGCCGAGCTCCGCTACAACTACATGGGAGCGATGAGGAGTGAGGCAGGGACGAGCTCTGCCTCTCGTAAGCCCACAGTAACTTGCTGGAGCGCGGGCACTAATGTAGCGCGGGCACTTATTTTGTGAGCGTGCTCAAGCCAGTTACTGTGGGGTGAGGTGAGGCACAGATGAGATCTGCCTCACCTCAGAATGCGTCACCCCACAGAAACTGGCTGGAAAGCGGGCCCTAAGCGCATGCCTGCACCATCTCACTGTATGTCACCAATGTAATGTTTGTAGATCCCTTTATTACATTTATCCTCGCCATCCATAGTCTCTAAATAACTTATTTCACGTATATGATATTTAGGCTCGCTGGTCTCATCATACAACGGCAATGAAAAAAGCACCAGGGGAGGCAGCCATAACCTCTGCCGCACTGAAGGGGGCGCATGTGAGCCCACAGGTTCTTGTTGCTACTGTTATTCTACCCAGACGCAAACAACAAGCTAGACTTTTGAAACTAGAGGAAGATAAGGAGGACTTTTACAAAAATGTAATGGAGATTGTTGTCCAGAAGGATAGCATGGACTTCATCTTCAAGTCAAGGTACAGTAGGGCCTGGCTCATTTCGTGGCATCTGCAGGCAGTGGCAAGTCCTTCCGGCATATGCCACAGAGGCCACTACTCTGTAGTAGCTGTGGCAAGTACTTCCGGCATATGCCACAGATGCCACAACTTGCCGAGGCATCTGCCGCTGCTCAACGGGAGTTGCCACAAGATGCCAGAGTAAGAGAACGTTTACGGTAGCTGCCACTCGCCTTCCGTGGCAAATGCTGCTATTTAAACCCGTATTTATCGTGTAAAATGTCGCTGTTTTGGCATGACTTTATCGAACTGATCTGTACACAGGACTGATGATCTGTGCACAGGGTTGGGTTGTAACTGAATACATGTAACGGCGTTACGTAATCAGAATACAAAAACCAAGTAGCCTAACTGTATTCAGCTCGCGTTACATTTGAAAAACAACTAATCCGAATACAGTTACTTTCGTAAACCTGAAGTGAATACATGTTGGAATACTTATTGGAATTATTGGTGGAAAAGTTTCCTCACAAAATATATCCTAATATTCATTACCGGCAGAACTGTGTGCACAGCGCAGCAGCATGTTTGTGAGGCCCCGCCCCCGCACGCAGATGACAGAGAGATCTCTTTTTAAATATATTGAAAGTTAGAAACGGAGATGGTTCGATAAAACGTGCAAGATAACGTTTATGTAGCATTTCTTTATTGTCGAAATGATGACATTTCATAACTGGATCAAATCAAAGTGAATGGCCTGCTGCTGCTGAAGGCATGGGGCAAATATAAGTCCTTTGCCTAATTTATAAAGTAAACCTTAGCATCTCACTAGCAGTGGCAACTGCAATCAGTTACAGCTGCCCTAAGTCTGTAGCCAAGTCTAATAACACCAGTGTACACGTTGCTGTGTCAATACAGATATTTATTTGTTAATTATTTGTCTTTACTAGTCATACACCTGGTTTATCATAGCAAGCAGTGGAAACTCCCCTTAAGAAGCGACAATTGCCAAGGGCGTTGCAACCCTCACTCGCCAATATTTCATCATAAATATAGCACGTTTGTTTATTTTAGCAAACCATGCTCCAAGTAAAATTGAATAGAAATTATAATGTTTAAAAAAATAGAGATCGGACCATCAGTCCTGTGCACAGATCATCAGTCCTGTGTACAGATCAGTTCGATAAAGTCATGCCAAAACAGCGACATTTTACACGATAAATACGCATTTGCCACGGAAGGCGAGTGGCAGCTACCGTAAACGTTCTCTTACTCTGGCATCTTGTAGCAACTCCCGTTGAGCAGCGGCAGATGCCTCGGCAAGTTGTGGCATCTGTGGCATATGCCGGAAGGACTTGCCACAGCTACCACAGAGTAGCGGCCTCTGTGGCATATGCTGGAAGGACTTGCCACTGCCTGCAGATGCCACGAAATGCGCTTGCTGTCTCTCTCAAGGTAAGACCACAATTGTAATGAACATGGGATCTTACTAAGAAAGAACAATCCAATATTTAGATGTTGGGTATCCTTTTGTTGAACAGTCTGTTTAAAATGAATCGAAGCATCAGACTAAAAAAGCTTTTGAAAATAACCGAACATTTCGATTAAGGTCAAAATATAATATTTGTAAATCTGACTCTGAAAGAGTCAGTGCCTCACCAGCCATGAACCTCACCGCACGTCACTGCAGCGATATATGCCGCCAGAAAATAATTGAGATTGTTCAAAGAGAACAAAGTACACAATACCTCCTCAATGATTTACTGCAGGGTCAAATATTTCAGTTTTGTATTGATTAATGTTTACACAAAGTCGCATGAAATAAGTTAATAGTTCAGCTATATCAAAAAACTCATTTTGCTCAGTGCACTGTAAGCGCTCTTTTGTAACCACTTGCATTCATAAAAAAATAAAATAAAATAGCTTCAGTATTTCGACAAGGAAATTCTCAAGGCAAGTCTTTTCAAGTACAGGAACTATGGCTCTACAGTGACAATAGACGCACAGGAGGTTTGGCATTATGAAAATGCAGTGGGTGGCTGTAACAGTTCCTTGAGTATCTGTCATTTTATCAGAAGATACAGATAGTGTACACTGCATTTGTAAACGTGACCATGAACTAAAAGAATATGTCAAACAGATACTCAGAATCACTCGACCTGCTTTTATGTCAAAGCGTTGACATTTATTCCTGAGAAGACTAAACACTTCCCAGTAGCATACAAACCGGTTGGAGAGCCAAACCAACCCTTTCTAGGAATAATATTTTCCTTACAAGGACATTCAAGGGTGGAGGGCAACAGAAAAACAATACGTAGAACTTGAACTTGCTGCTCCAAAGGACAAGAAAAGTTGATTATGATGAGCCCAAGACTTTTGAACTATTGTCACCCTCAGGACAGGCTTAGGCTTAGTCACACTGACAAAAGCTACAGGTAGCATGATAATAATAAAAGATCCCAGTTTAAAATCATTTGATATGCTTCTGTTGCTCTGTACAATACAAGTTCCCCAGACAGTAGACTTCACTGTACTGGCAGGGTTCAAAATATACAGAGACTAAGCTTAAAGTCCAATAATGCAGTAGGCAGTACACATTATGGTTGTGCTTACTTACACAAACAGCCATGTTTATGTGTCTGCTGCATACATGAATAAACAGCTCCCACAGTTAAGGTTATGACAAGAATTTGACTCTCAACTTCATACGATAAACTATAAAAAAACAACACATGTTGTCGCCTATTTTGGTACTGTTCCAGTTATGGCATCACTTTTTTACTTCATTGTTGTGAATGCATGGCCGTGCAAATGGTACTTCCTCTATTGTCTTGCCCTAACTTTATCCTGTGCCCTCCTGTCTTTGATGCATTCACTCAGGAGTATTAAAATAAATGCTTCAAGGACAGCAGACAATACAGCCTACGCTATCATTCAGCATAAATTATGAACTGATATTGTAAGGCAAGAATTGGGTCACTATAATAGAGGAACAAACTAGGATACCTGTATTTATCGTGTGCCATACAGCAAGACACATGTGCATGTTTTAAAATGTGAAAAAGTTCTTATTTCTCCTGACACAGATGGGGTTCGAGGAATAGACCTGACCATGGGCGTAATTACATCATTATAATGATGTAATTACGCCCATCTGGTTTATCTTTATCAAATAGAGACATTGGGTGAAAAAGCAAAGCTGTGTGGGTACATGTGAAATGGAGAATGAATACTTGTTTTGTCACCTAGTTGAAAAAGGATTAAGGAGAGTGCATGAGTCAGTAACTGCCTTAAAAAAGAGCAGTACTCATAAGGTTGTGAAGAGAAGTTATTGAGCAAGCACTTAGCCAACTGAAAGTAAAAATATACCCTTTTTAACATGAACAAATCATTGGAATAGATAAGCACGCATTTTGAATTAAAGGCACAATAAATGTACTGATTTAAAAAGTATCCCTAATGGACTTTATGATTCATGTTTGACCTTAAAATTAAAGACCCAGTGCAGGACTAACCATGGAAAAAGCCAGTAAGCTGCATGCAGGCACAGTCCTAATCCAGTATTGAACTTGGTGCTGTAATGGCCGAGGGCCCTTTTCACCTTTCCCGACCAGCAGATCATGACCCTGGAAATCCCATTAAATGGCTGCCACACCATCCTCCTCCTCCTAGCTGAAGGCAACAACCTGCCTGTCGGCGTCAACCAGCTCATCCAGATCAACATGAAAGTATGCGGTAACTGATTTAGAGTTAAATTGTTTTAATGTAAAGTATAAAATATTAAGTATAACCCTTTTAGATTTACCCTACCAAAATCACTTAACTGACTCGCATGATCTGAAAACCTTAGCATCAAAGATCTAACAGTGCTTTTATCTTTATTTGAATTAATGTTTAACATTTGAATGGTGGACCTTTCACTCTATCAAGAGTTTGATCTTTCTTTCTTTTTTGTGTCTGTATGCTGACATAGTTTTATATTATTTTCGCATTGGCAGAGGTGGGAGAAGTATTCAGTTATTGTGCTTGAGTAAATAAAGAAGTACCAGAGTAGGAATACTCTGCTACAAGTAAAAGTCTTGCATTCAAAATGTTTCTCAAAAGTACAAAAGTATAAGCAGCAAAATATGCTTAAAGCACCAACAGTAAAAGTACTCATTATGCAGATTGGCTTATTCCAGATGAATTATTGATGCATTAATGTGTTTGTCAAAGCTGGTGCAGCTAGTTTTCATGACTTTGTATGCTGCAGGGTAGCTTGTGAATTTACTCCAGGTGTGACTTAAGTCTTATTTAAGTGTTGATTATATTTCATATCATTATTACAAATCAAAGTAACTAGGTATTAAATACATGTAGTGGAGTAAAAGTACACTATTTACCTCTGAATTGTAGTGGAGAAGTACAAAGTAGCACAACATTGAAATACTCAATTAAAGTACAAGTCTGTCAAAATTGCACTTGAGTGCAGTACTTGAGTAAATCTACTTAGTTACTTTCCACCACTGATGGGAACATCCAAACACAAAAACATGACCCTGACAGTCCATCATCTGAAACTAAACTCCACTGCCTCCCTATCTCTCTTCAGACCGATGCTAGAATCTGCCCTGAGAAGTAAATGCATTTCTTACCAGCAGCTGAGAGGTGTTTTAGTCTCGGTGCATTGGCCGTGGTGACTCCTCCACTGGCTCCCGCAGCAGCAGACTTACCGATTTGAGTAACTGGTTTACCGGGATGACAGCAGGCGTGGACACATGCATAACCGGCAGCTCAGCCGTCCGCCAGCGAAGAAATCCCCGCATCCTCGCCGAGGCTGTGATCCAGGGGGAGGGCGGGGCACAGTAGCCCAGCCCCACGTGCACACCCCGCCCCCAGCATTGGTTTCTGCAGAGCCGGGTGAGAGAGTTGCCCGAAGTAAAGGAGGGTGAGACCGGACAGACCGGCTGAAGGATCTCATACCAAGTTCCTAAAAGGCGTAACAGTTGACAACAAACGTAAACGTAAAGAAAGTGTGGGGAAAAAAAGATGAAGAAATTAAATAAGAATGAATATGGAAACAGAGCTGTGTAGTATTCCTACAGTGTGATTAAATGATATAAATTAAATTAAAGTCACATACATTTTGCTTTTAAAGGGCACAATTATATAAGAAAATCGAATTATATATATAACCATCTTGAATTGTTTCTGATAATTCTGAGATTTTCCAGTCAGTTAATTTGCTCTAAGAGTATGTTTTCAATGGTAAAAGTATTAGCAGATCTTTTTAAGGCGAGACACCCCAGGTGAATAGGGTAATTTTTTTAACTTAAAGGTATCAGCTAGAAATGTCTCCAGTTAATTACTTACAATAAGGCAATTGTCTTTTGTATTACAAGTTTTCTGAAATAGCATGTTTAAATATGCAAATTTGCCATTATCTCATTAAATATGCACATATTTTAACACATTTCAGGAATCGAAATCTGAACTTTGGATATAGCCAGATTCAAAATTCTTGTTTCATTTTGTAGTCATATTAGTATCTAAGGCTTTTACAGAAGGGATGTGGGATATCTCTTTTTATCATTCCATAAATCAGAAAATACTGTCAACAGCCCTAAAATATCCATTTTCGCCATGTTTTTAGGTATACAATGTTGTATAATTCAGGCTATGAATTATATATGAACAAACCCTTCTGTAAAAGCCTTCATAATATTGATAGGAATATAACTGGAAGGTTTGGTGTATGTACGTACTACTGAAGTTGAAATTTCGAACTCAGAGTAGGAGAAAAAACTCATTTTGAGAAAACGACCTTTAAAGATTGCAGTGAGGCGCTAGCTAAACCCTCCTGTTCTTTGAATGACAGCTTGCGCATCGACGCACTCCGTTAAGGTATTTCATGTTCAGGGTCATTTTTTTTTTATAACCTTGCTTCGTGCAAGTGACAATTGTTGTCGTCTTCTCTGTGAACGTTTTTTTCGCCGTTCTTTTGGCATTTTGAGATTTCAATTTCTAGCTGAAAGCTAACCAGGAAGTGTTTTAGCACACCACGTGACGCATCTGAACGAATCACGTTGTCAGAAATTGACACCAGCCAATGAGATTTCGTTTCTTGGTTTCAGACCCCTTTGTGCTTTCACGATTGGTTGCTGATACAAAGGAAATGACCATATTTGGATCCGATGAGATTGTGCAGGAGAGACGGAGCTTTCCAGCGATATCTCTGTTGACACGGTGCACACAGCGTTCGCGGTACTTTATGTTACGTTAGAATGCTAACTTTTGGTGAATTTAGGAGAAATCTACAGACGCAAATAGACAAACTATAGTAAAATAAACACTTAAATGTGTATTTTGTACGTTTTCCTTCCAAAAGCCTGAAAGAAAACATGTTATGGAATCAAAATAGCACAAAATCTCAACATTTACCAGTACTTGAAAAACGATGTTTTTGCCTGCCGTGTCTCGCCTTAAATAAAATATAAATCTGAAAAAGGCTGCTTGCATAATCATTTAACCCCTAAATTCAACTTTGCTATAATGCAATAACAGCGCCAAATCTTTGGAGTAAGTAGCAGATTGGCAAACTATTTGGAGTGAATTTTGCTCGTTCTGCGGATTTGCTCCAGATTGCTCAGGTTTAGATGACGCTTTTGGACCGCAGGTTTCTAACAGTGCCAGCAATTCTCCATTCAATTGAGATCTGGACTTTGCTCTCGCCACTGTAATATGGGATTCGTTTTGTATCATAAAGATAAAGCAACACTTTTTCAGAATAAAGCAAAAACTATGAGTTTAAAAGAGAGAAAAAAACGGAGTCAAGCAAAATAAAATACATTTCAAAAATAAAACTATAAGTCTTTTTTTTTTGTTTTAACATAGGTTTTTGTTTTTGTTTAATTGTTTTTAAAGCACTAAATGGGTTGGCTCCTGCCGATATAGCTGAACTCCTCCAGCGCTACACCCCAGCCAGAGCTTTAAGGTCTGCTGACCAGCTGTTGCTGATAGTGCCCAAGACCAGGCTCAAAACCTGAGGGCACCGAGCCTTCGCAGCAGCTGGCCCTAGGCTCTGGAACACTCTGCCCCTCCATGTGAGGTCGGCCCAGACCCTATAAGGGTTTTTAAATCTACTCTTAAGACACACTTCTTCTCCCTGGCCTTCTAGTCAGAGCGGAGCATGACTCCTGACTTTTGTGTTTTTTATATATCTGTTGTAATTTATTGTCTTTTATTATGATTGTAGTAATGTGTTTTTATTACATGTACAGCACTTTGGCTCGACCAAAAATCGCTTTTAAATGTGCTTTATAAATAAAACTTGATCTGATTCGATTTGATTAGAGTCAGGCACACGAGTCCGTTTGAGTGTGTGCGCCGGTGTCTGAACGCTCACTCACTCACTGCTCGCTTTGTAGCTGACAACTGTCCCTGCTATAGGCTACTAGCTTGCATTGTTATCAGGCGCGCCGGATTCATTTTAGAAATGAGGGGGGGGGGGGGGGCAAAAAAGTGCGTGTGTATGGCTCATAGACGTATGGCCCAGCGCCATATAGAGAGAATCTCATTTGCTAATATAGAATGCTTATACAAGGACAGAGTTTTAAAATTGGCACACAATATTGTGAGTGTCCTGATGCACCCTCTTGCTTTGAACTGTTGCCATCCAGGCGGAGATATCGTCCCCCTCTGTTAAAAAAGAACAGATCTCGGCTGTCTTTCGTCCCACAAGCCATCAAACTCCTAAATAAATGATGGCTAGGACGAACTGTTTACCCAGCTGGTCTGGCCCTGTCCCCCCTATTTCACAAATGAGGGCCATAGGCCCCTTGTCATGTCTGCCGATATCTGGTTTTCTTATGTCTGTTTGTTTTAATCTGTGTCTATGTTGTTGTCAGTGACACATTGTCTTATCTTTTTAAATGCCTTTGTGATGTGCTGCAACCCATTTTCCCCTCGGGGACAAATAAAACGAATACATACATTTCCATGCACAAAACCTGCATACCCAAAAACCATAACAAGGTCATCTTGATCTTAAATCAAACAGAACAACATTTTAATGTATCATTTGTAATCCAGACGGATCTAGTAATTCAGATACAGACAGAATTACTGTTAAACATTAATAAATAAATACCATCTCTCTATCTGAGTGTGTGCTTTGTTTCGTGTTGCCCATTGTTTGTTAAACCACAGAACCCCAAGCCTACTTAAACAGATTTACAACTCTTGCACAATGCACAGTACAAAATAAAGTCGGCCTAGTGAGTGTGTGTATCCTGTGGGATCCTGATTTTCTTTGCAAAACAATCAAACCCACTAGGACAGTATACATGCTGCTACCATGGTGACTTTGCACTCTATGTATGAACAAAGATTGTAAAACACTTTGTGACAATTATAGCGAAGTGACCTGATAAAAACAGTGTGTATCCTTTCAAAGGTTCCGCTTACTGAGCTGTAAAAATAGCAACATGTTTGCAGTATTTGACATCCTTCTCTCTCTCAGGAATCAGGATACAGAATGAGACAGAGAAATATCCTTTTTACGGATCTTTAGAGTATATGATTATTGACCCTGAATCTAGCTTCCTTTTTTACTTGTATTCATTTACAAGATGGGGACTGAGCAAATTGAATTTCCTGGAAACTGGTAACGGTATGGAAAGTATATGTGTACTTGGCATTAAAATTACAAAATGTAATAATTATTTATGTTAAGTAAAGCATTGAGATATTGAAAACCCTATTGGTCTCTGTCAAACAGTAGTGAAGAATAACAAACTAAAAGTAAAATAACCATACTGAAAATGTCTCCATACCAATTAAGAGGCTGCACAGTATTATCATAAAAGTGAACAAAGTATTACAAGTAAAATATTAGACATGATATATATCAGGTATCCTTGGCTTTTATTGAATAATTAGATAGCATTATTATATTTAATAGCAATGATTGGATAAACTATTACTATAATATTCGACAATGTTTCATATTTGATCAGATCATGACATTGTAAAGTAACTATACATGTCAAATAAATATAGAGGCAAAATACAACATATCTCTCTGAATTAGAAGTCTAATGTTGCATGAAAGGTTATCACGTCGTAGTACAACCAACTCAAATGTGTACTAAAGTAAGTTACACTAAGGGATTTTCTACTATCATAATAAAAGCAATATGAGTTCAATATCTTATTATTGTGAAACAGTCTTCTTCTGAAATATACCAGTGATTTGTGGTAAATAAAACCCTCTTTTATGTTTTATTTTAAGAAGAAAAAGGAAACCTATTTATGTTGATTTTGTTAAAGGGGCTTGCTTGTTACAACCATTGGTGCATGTTTACATTATTGCAGAGTATTTTGACTGAGTGGATGATTGTGCCGAGAGTGGCTTAGAAAATCCCCGGCCCTCCCCTTTCAGCTCTACTTAGGAGCAATAATGTTATATAATATGACCATCTGCTCTTCACGTTGGTTTAAAAGTCCCATAATGTGACATAGCCATGGTGAATGCCAGTAAACACATGAATCAGGTGATGGATGTAGAACATTTCACAATACATTTTCATTTTGAATTCCATTTAAATTTATAATTGTTTTCCTTTTGTTTACGTGGCAAAGGATGCTTTTGATATTTTGGTGTGATAGCTTGCTTGCCTGTGCCTGCTCTTATGATGCTGGGCTGGTGCAAAAGAAAAGGACTGAGGCACAAGCTGCAGTCACAGATGAAGGACTGACGTAAACCTATCCTCTTCTTAGAAATAAAACACTACACTGGAATGTGTCACTGTTTGTGTGTCCATGTGACAGAAGCTCTCACAATCACTGGACATCTGCTCTCAGACTGCAGAGCCAACCCGTTAGAAACGATAGGAAATCACGACTATGTAGTGACATCTAGCGGTGCTTTCTGGAACTGTTTGGATAAAGAAATCCACTGTGT